TTTGGTTTTTGTTTTAAATGATTTTTGAAGAAACGCCAGTGGGTACCGTTTACCAGGATTTTTTACGGCGCTCCGAAGATTATACAACCTCGTCAATTTTTGATTTTTTTAAATAAAAAAAATTGAACATATTCCTGAATGTGTATACTTTTAGACAGAAAAACTCCCAATCCGAAATTTCAAATAGTTTTCCTTAACAAAATTCACAAAAATGACCTTTTTTTCCGGCTCCTAGGTGTATATCTCCCCTTAAATCAAAATTTTGTAATGTATAATTAGTCCATCACAATTTTTTTTTGTATAATTATCTTTGCTATTTTGTGTAAGTTTATTTTTGTATTTAAATATTTTATTTGTTTCTAGAAAATAAGAGAATATAATAAATTTTATAACTGCCTGCTATAATGGATTAAATCAATTATAGTATATCACGAATGTATAATTCAGATTACATATAGCTGATGTTAAATGTGATCATGATTGATTTTAATATAATATCATCTATAACACTGCAAAGTATTAACGTTAAATAAATTCAATCTAGTAACTAAAATTGCAAGGTTTACTTGTACAATCTTAAATCAACAGACATTTGCGTCCTTTAGAAATATTACGACATCCGCACAACGTTTCTATATGAACATATTAATTCTATTGAATCTCTGTAGTTTTATAAGAGGAAGTCACTTACCATTATTCATTAATATTACCATTATTTTGTTCGCTATACAACTATTTAGAAATCTTATGTGTATCGGAGAACGTTATCAAAGAGCAAATTATATAATGATGAAGCAGTCTTAAACAAATTGGCGCGATGTGTATCTTATAACATCGTCAGTGGATGAGATTTTATCAAATAATACTTAATTTTACATCTCCTATTGAAGTGAATGCCGATGGTAGTCATTGTTAGAGGTCTTTATAATACTAATAGGACCCAATTTCCTTTAAGAAGATGAACCTTTCCTTCTTTTATGCGTAACCTTGCTATTGGTCGAGTCATCCTTTATCTCTTTATGTTGTTCTTCCACGTCAAATCCTATAACATGTGTAAATATATCATCAGATACATTATTTCTAGATCAAGGAGTATATTTATTGGTGGCTCATTATTACCGTACAAACTTTTAATATCAATTTTTTTTCAACAGATTTATGAAAATAGTTATTTTCTGATAGAATGTTCTCAATAAATTTAATTTATTAATTTTTTAATGTATATGACTATACAAAGTGATTTTTTGCAAATCATTTTGAGTGTCAAAACTAACTAACTGGTCAATATATCAATTTATCAATGTTCAATAACGCACTAAAATTGATGTACTTAATAAATACTTGATAATAAATTTTTGCCTAAGTGCAATTAATAAATCATTAATGATGCTTTAAGAGCGCAGTAGTGATTGATCACACTGTGTAAGTCTGATGTAAATTTGTAAATGTATATGAATTATAATCTTACGTTTTCTCTTTGCCACACGTGAACGTGTTACACGTGAACTATTTTGGGAGTTGAGTACAGAAATGGGCGCCTCGATGATTTTTTTTCTTAATCGTGCAACTTCTTCCATTGCCGGTGTCATCCATTTTGGTTTGAGTTCATTACTGAGATTCGAAAAATCAGATATTAAAATAATTAATGCTAATACAGATATGAGTAATGTAGTACATAAACAAATATTAAGTGCCAAATTGGATGCTTACTCCGATGATTTTGGTGGTGCTTTATGCCTGAATGAACCCGATTGCCTCTCCTTCATTTTACGAAGTACTTCTAACATTGCGTATGTCGGCAGAGACGGTGGCCGCGGAGATGCGGACGATGGTGGTGTAAGAGGCGGCGTAAGAGGCGAAGGCGGCAGTTGAGTACTGATTTTCGCAAGTTTGTCTGGATGCAGCGCTAATACTGCTTCCCAACTAAATTCTTTTTTCGGAACTGGATTCTTAGGCTGTGTATTCCGTGTTATTCGTATCTAGAGCAGATAACATTAAAATGATAATCAATTACGTGTGTGCGCGCAAACTTACAAATTGGCAGATATTTAAAATTTAAGGTAAATTTTTACCTCGCCGTTTACAGGCCTACAAGGTTTCCTTTCTCTTAAATATGGACGCTCAAAAAATATAGAGCTCGTAAGATTTTCATTTGACTCATTCATGTTATAAAGACATGTAGGAATATTGCCATCTTGGCCAATATGTAGAAATAAATTCCGTAAATAGGAATAGTTGGGCTTGGTCTCGAATTCTAGTTCGGTAATGTACTTCATATATTTCATGATCGCAGCTAGAAGAAATAAATATTATATAAAATAATAAACGCACACACTATATATACAGAGGACAGGTTTTTTTTCATTAATTATTTATAATATTTTTACTAACCTGGTGGTTTTTTCTTATGAGGAAAACACTTTTCCATAAATAGAGGCAAGTCTGATAAGAGAATCTCTTTTTGTTGATGAACTTCTTCGGGATCCATAGCAAAACCTATTTCATTACTGTCATTCTCCCAAGGTAGCTTTCCACACAACCACTGTATAACATTATATCCTAAAGTCTCTAAATCTCCTCTCCTTGAATGTGCTGAAAAATATTTTGTATAATATGAAATTTTGTATATAATAAAAGCGTGAAAAAATCTAATCTCATTTAATATAGTCAGTAATAATCGAAAGGAATTGGAAAAAACTTGCTAAGATTTTTCTTTAAACAGTTCGATTATTTTTGTCAGTTCTTTTAGAGAAAAAAATTTTTATATCTTTATAATTAAGAGACACGGTAATGGTCGCGTCAAGTGATTGCGCAGCGCGAGACCGCCCGTGTCTTCTTGACGTACAAAACATTAAATGTGCTATAATATTCATTATTGAAATGATTAACGTACTTCCATGATGAGCATCCCGGGATGTAAATTCTAAAGTACCCTCGTGAGCTCTTCTCTCATCATGTACGAATGGTTTATGTTCACCGGTTCCTGTGCGGAAACGATATGCCAATCCATAATCTACCAAGTACGCAGTAGATTTTTCCTTTCCTATTCCATTTCCATATGACAACAAAATATTTGGTCCCTTAATATCCGCATGAGCATATCCCTTACTGTGAATATATTCCAACGCATCCAACTATAAAAAAAAAATTAAGATTCGTAGATTTAATTGAACCGCATGTTCGATTCAATCGATTATTAATTGCAAAACTCGCAATTCCAGGCGTGAAATTTACCATTTGTACAGCTAGTGTATTAACGAGTTTTGTTGGTAATTTCTTTCTATGCGACAGGAATAATTTTCCAATGTCTACTCCATATCGCGGTATTACTAGAAACCTGTACCGTTGACCTCTATGAACATGAGATCCTGATCCTTCATATGTGGGAACACCAATTTTCCTCTTTCCCTGAGATTCACACCAACTTTTGACTGTAAAATATATCAAAACATCAAAGATACAATCGTTTTATATATGCATATAAATTAAAATATATAGTTTTATAATATAAATTTTATTACGTATATGTTACTTACTCATGTGCTTGCGTGCTGCTCGTATATAAAAATTCATTTCAACAAATAATGGACCATTATTATGAGGTTCAATCTTTACGACATATCTTGCATCTTGACCAACAGGTGATGTAATGTCATTAGAGGCTGTGGAAGAAGAAATAATATTATCATTCGTGCATAGTTCTATATATGGAATATAGAATTATTTCAAAATTATAAATAAAAATAGATTATAAACAAGAGAATATTTACCAAGATATATGTCTCCAAAACCACCATATCCAATAGTATTTCCTAGTCTCCATTTATTCTGCGTAATATCCGTCAAGATTTCTCCTGCTGGCAGTTGCGCTGGTAATTTACAACCTGCAGCTGCCATTCTCTTCATAGGCACATCTTCTGCTCGTCTCGGTGGCATTCTATCGCTGTTAAATCATTCATGTATACATATATTAAATTTATTAACTTGAAAATAATGTGACTCATATCTCACACAGACATTCATCTATAACAGGATTATATGTTCTTGCTATCAAAATTGTATCATAAAACTTACTTATTTGATACAATACAATAGCAATTGCATAAAAAAACTTCATTTTGTACAAACAAGAACACGTCAAGGATATTAATAATCTTACACTTTATTTTTTCATTTATTTCTTAAAAAATACCGTTTGTATACAATTTTTTAGATACTTTATCTAATATTAATTGTGTAAGAATTTCTCATCAAAACAGCACATATATGTATATATTATGTGTATATTAATTTCTTAGTTATTATAGAAAAATTTTTACAATATTAAAGATGCCTATATATACATTTGTAATTAAGGATAAAAAGCATATATATTTAGTATATAATATTAAGAATTACATAAAGATCGTGTATTTATTTCTTCTGATTGAGGCAGACATATACTATAGTTTTAAATAAATTACAAATATATGAAGTATACACAATTATTTTATTATTCCTCACATGCACTAATAATTCAATCTTTTCCTGACAATTTAATCAAATGAGATACACCATGTGAAATAGTAAAACACTCTTCTTTAAAAATACTGTTCATACTATTATATACAGAATTGTCATAAATCGACAAGGAGACTACCGAGCATTGCTTAATAATTATGATAGATTACCAAATTTAATTACCTATGCACTACTTTGTATCGGTACACCAAAAGCTAACATGAAGTTATTAAAATTAAAAATACGACATAAATGTATGTTGACTTCTAAAATATATAGTTAATGTTATCGTATTCTTAATGAAGTATATCTTCCGATATTACCCATCAATATACATCATATTATGCTTCCTACAAATACCTTCATGTATAATGATCATTTTAAAGCATACCAGTGCAGAGAGCAGTATAAGTAACCAAATTGGCAATCGACGAAACACTTTCTACTTCCAAAGTTCCACTTGTGATGATTTTTGGTAATACGTTGACTTAAATGATCCAATGTTTCTATATGCATGACAAATATTCTCGGTAAACTATTACAATTCTACGATATTTTATACGTAAATACATACGAAATTAGTGAAAAAAATTAAATCTTTTGCAAACGTGTCGATTAATTAAGTAAAATGACTAGAAGGAATTTCAGTAACACTGTGTTGACAACGAATCATCGTATACGAAAAAACGTTCATTACAAATGGATTATCGATATCGTCGATAATAAGAGCACCATCGACAACACCGGATTCGTTTTCTACCAAGCGCTCATCAACATGCTGTTCTACATAACAACGGTATATACTTACATGAACGTATGTACGTATTTTTTCTAACGATCTTTTTTTTTCTACTTTTCTGTATCGGCTTATTAGTTAATGAGAGGAACTCATATCGTGCATTCGAAAGGGCGAACACTCGTTGCAAATGACGTCTCGACGGACACGAGAGATTCGCACTATTCGCAGTCTGTTAGGTTTCTCGCTGGAGTCTGGACGCCGCCGAGCGCATTCCGCAAGGTTAGTCTCGCTGGTCGTTCGCGTCGAATGTGGTCGAACGACTCGAACGAGAGCCCGGTGTGGAAGTGTGCGTCGCCCGTTCGAGGTATCATGCGCGACGATCAGCCGGCGGCCTCTTGCACTTGCACACGGGACGGGGACGCTCGCGCGTGTGCGTACGAGAAAGATTCGCCGTTCGCCGCGCACAAAAGAACGCTTGAGCTCAGCGGAACCGTCCTGACCCGCGTCGTGTGCTACGATCCTGCAATATTTAACGCGTCTAACGTAATGTGTTGCTGCGTACGTTTTACGGGATTATCAAGGACGACGAGGCAACGTCTCGCCAACGTCCCGTTGATGCCCCGAACGGTGCCTAATGACACGAGCGGAAAGCGCATTCGAAGCCGAACGCGCCTACCGATGGCCCGCTGCGACGCCGACAATCCGCCGACCGCCAACAACCCGCCGCCGTCTTGGCCGGACGGACACGGTCGAAGATCGCGACCTGCGTTTTCGTGCCTCCGACACTCGCGCGCGCTCCTCCGCACCGAGCCCGACGAATCACATCGCACCGCTTCGTAAATACGCTTCCTCGCCGATCAGCTGGAACCTGCCTCCAACGATACTCCTTGCACAGGAGCAGCAAGTATATCGCGCGATAAACGACAGACAGCACAGCCAGCCGAATCGACTCTATCTTTTTTTTTCGAATATGACAGAATGCAACGGAAAGCGATTGGCTAATGGGGAATTCGCACTGCGCGCTATCTGCAGCCAACGACGTCCAATGGAAAGACTTGTCTCCCAGGGACTGTAGCGTCCCAGCTGGGGTCTCTAGGTAACGCGTTTGCCGGTTGGACGCCGGATAATGTACGTCGCACGCGTATGGACTCGCCGTAAAACCGGCACACGACGACACGACCGGCCGGACCAGCCGCGAGAGAAACTGATTTTTTTTTTTTTTTTTTTTTACAAGTTTCAGCACTGTAAAAGCGCAAACTTTCAGTTTTACAATATTGGAATTTATTCTAAAACTTATCGAAAATCTGTTTCACTTTTTCAAGTTTTTATTCGAAAATATACCTATATTACGTAAAATAAAAAGAATATGTAAACAATAAAACAATTAGGGACAGAAAACTAATTTAAACTTTAGCCGATGCTCACGACAATTAATGCATAATTATTTGATAAAATTCAAAGATTTAATGGCTGTCTATAGAATTTTATTCTTAATACATACATTTTCTCTATGCTCAGCTTTGAAAGTTGATATTTTATAATTACATTGGACTGCTCAATGCGAAATGAATAGAAGGCTGCACAGGGATTTAAAGAATTAAAAATTGGGAGTCTAATATATAAAGATAAATATATAGGTACATATGTGTACACCGAAATAGAAGATATATATATATATATACTTAAAATATATAAAAAAATTCATTCGTTATAACTTTAAACTATACATAAAAATAGAAATGAAAGTGTGCCACATTGACGTTGTCTAGTTCCTATTCGCTATATATATATATATACATATATGTATATATAAAAATAAATATCGAATATAATCACTTGGAATACGACGAAAGTGAAATTGCAATGGCACGATGAAGAGTAAAAGAGTGCCCTCTAATTTACACGTAAGTAGAACTGCGTTTATATCGAGCTTTTTCCTTTAAAAAATTCACTTCTTCAGTAAATGCCTAATCAGCTGAAGAAGGACAATCTCGATACAAGCGCAATTTCTCACTACATCAGAACAGAGCAACATTTTTGCTTTCGATTGTACGTATACATGTACATGCGCGTGTATTCTGAAATCATTTATTTTACAATCTCCTTTATTCCTGTCAATTTCGCACTTACTTCCCACAGACGGAGCGCTACCTCTGGATCCAAATCTTTTTTTGAGATGTAAAGCTTGCAATCGCGATACAAGTGTCCGCTTTCCTCAGACAATGACGATTCTGTCGCGCAATGCAATACCGTTTGTGCACCCTGTGAATATTGATTTGTAATAAAAAGCATTTCCTAGTAGTAAGAGATTTCTCAAAGATCGTATAAATCGATTGATATATTTACCTGATTTGCAGTACGTAGAAACATAAGAGCAACGGGTGAAAAGATGATATAATGAAACCAGCTTCTTTTCACATTTCTGAATAGACCAGTATAGGTAAATCCGGGACACACCATGTAAACATTAACGCCAGTATTTTCCGTTCGTTTCGCAAGTTCGGCGGCAAAGTATGCATTTGCAAGTTTTGAGTTGCAATAGCCGGGATTCATCCTGCTCTTCACTGGCAATCCTTTCTCGCCATTCAAATTTGAGAAATCTATTACTCCAGATTCCAGAAGCTTGGATGTCACTACCACTATTCTACACGAAAGAAAAAAAGTTTTGTTTCAAAATCGTTTTTGACAATCTAAAGTATTTTTATATGCTAACCTGCTGGGAGCGTTCTCCTTCAGACGATCCACAAGTAAATTGGTAAGCAGAAAGTGGCCCAGGTGATTTACCCCGAAATGAATCTCAAACCCGTCTTTTGTCAATGCATGATCCTTGAGGGGTGCGTACACTCCGGCATTATTGATCAGCACGTGAATTTGAGAAAATTTCTTTAGCACTTCATTGGCGAATTCTCTAATCGACGATAAAGACGCGAGATCCAGCTCCATGGGAATCTGCGTACAAAGACATATTAATTGTATTTAATATATGTATATGTATCAAATTAATTAGAAAATGAGAAAGAAAAATACAAACAGAAAGTGACACAAAAGTAGAATTTCAGAATTCGATATGTAAAGGCTGTTGGCCCAATTTTACTGAGTAAGGGAATAACTATATGATTACCAATTCGCCAGTGGATATTTTGTTGCGTATCTCCGTTATGGCATTCTTTGCGCTCTGTACATCCCTGCAGGCCATGATAACCGTGGCTCTCCGCTTGACCAGTTCCTTCGCCGTTTCCTTGCCGATACCAGAGTTGGCGCCGGTCACGAGAAACACCCGATCTTTTAGGCTGCTGGTGCTCTTACATCTTCCCCAGGTACGCTCTCGGCATTTGCGGAGCAAGCCGATGAGCAAGATCATCGGAAGTATGAAGTAACACCACGAAGATACCATATTGACGGTGGGGTGTTCTTCAACCTCGCGGCATGAGACTTTCCACCAGGTGCAGCGCGAGGTTAATCGCGATGACTGGTTTTTTTAAACGATGTTAATGCATATTACGTCGCAATATCGTGCACGTTTCTCAAACGTTTGTTTCAATCGACCGGAGGCTTCACTCCTAATTTGTCGCGTACATCATCATGACTCTGCAATCGAAATACGTCGCGCGTCGTGTGACTAGACGTAAAAAAAACATCGGTCCAATCTTATCTCGAGCACTCCGAGCGATTCCACATCTCGGGCGGAATAACTCACTGCAACATTACAAGCGCCGTCGTGAACTCGGTGAACTCCGACGCGGAGCTTTATTTACAATCGCAACGCGCAAGCGTTTGCTGCAACGCAAATGCACCAGCAGACTGTAGGTAGTTCTCGTGTTATGAACACTGTCGATTTGATCTACAATGTTATAAGATAGACGTGGTACGTAGTTCCTTTTTTGAAAACGTGGACGTGGGGCGCTAGTGTACGGGGGAGATCGCCGGTCCCACCCAAAAAGCCGGCGTGGCCGCTCTCACGCTTCTCCGCTCTGATCTCACGGCTCACCTAGCAATCCTAGTGTGCTGTTTTCCATTTCATTCTACTGTATATATAGCTGCTTGAAATGTCGAGAATTTATGTCAATTTTAAGTTTTTTTGCAATTTACTACTTCGACATTCAGGAATTTCTAATGTTGATAACTGTAAAGTAATTTCGACAATTACTTATTATCAACGCGTAACGATAGGGGTGGAAAAAGCTAGAATTTCTCTGAATCAAATTAGAAAATAAGCTAAATGTGAATGATATTGTAGATGATGTAAATTAAGTTAAACTGAATTAGTGAAAATATGTGTAAATGAAATGGAAATTTTTATAACCCGTTGGATATGTATTACAATTATTTAGGGATCGGCAGATGTAATGGTGGAGATTCTTATTCTGATATCTGCATTATATAGTGCAGTAGAGTAAGCAGCTAATCTTATTATCAATGAGGGATATTGAAGATGGCCAATTTAGATGATCAATTCGATTAGAAGATGTCTGCAGTTTAAAATAAAATTTAATTATAGCGGTATAAATTTATATTTCATATTAAGCCGAATGTGTATAATATATAAAAATGTAGTGTTTAAGTACGAACTTGGTTTATTGGAGTATATTGGGTGCAATTAAATATCGATAAAAATAATTTCGCAATTGCATTCTGCAACGTTCGGCTGTATACATTCAGATCACCTACACTTTTGATTTCTTTTTCATTATTCTTTTTCTTACATCTTATTCATTTATACTTCATTACACTTTTTTTTGCGGTTTTATAAAATAAATGAAATTGATGTGAAAGTTAATAAGATTGAATTGTTGCTTCATGTGAAATTCAAAACTTAATTAATATTGAAAACTTGCATAAATTTATGAACTATAGTTAATTAATACATGTATTATATAATATATATATGTTCCAATAAATTATAAATATTTTTACAACAAATTTTCGTGCTGCAATCACTTGAAACATATGTTAAGGCACAAGATATCATAAATATATTCTTCCACTTATCGATCAACAATTATTACAGATGGTAAAATATATATGTGTGTGTGTGTGTGTTATGTATAAAGATAGTTTCTCATTCTTTTTAAATTTATGCTGCATAAATTTATATAAGTGCTTTCATAACAGCAGTTCAAAGAAAGTTAATAAGCTTTTTGTACATATATATTATTTAAAAATTAAAAAAAGTACTTTCTTTTGCGATTACCCTTTAAAAAATATTCTTATATCTTATTCATAGTTACGGCCATTTATCATCACAATCTGATACATTGGTATCAGAAAGATTCTCGTTTAAGATAAAATTGAATATTTATATCTTAATTGTTACGAATAGAGTGTTTTTTCCATCCATTCTTCCAATGTAAATGTAGCTGTCTGGGTTTTATCTGGATCTCTCTCTCTAAAAATATCTGCAACAATATAATATAATTGATTTTATCTCATATACTATAAAATATGTTAAATATTAAAATATTAAATATTATGACATATTAAAAAGTAATATATATATTTCAACAGTTGATATATCAATGATACGTAGAGATTATAATGATTAAATGCAAGTTTCGCTTACCAATCATTGTTTTGATTCTGACCGCGCACATTATGAAATCGTCGAAAGTAATCTTGCCTTCTTTAGTACCATAACGATGAACCAATATATTAAGAATATGATTGTTTAAACGGTATCCCGCGCTATTTAACGCTTGTCTTAATTCAAATGCACTTAAATATCCCGATTCGTCTCTGTCATACAGTTTAAAAACAGCCTGAAATATTTATAACATTACAAAGATTCACAAATGTTTTACAAGATAAACAGTTACAAATTACAGAACCGAAAAATTTCGCACTTACCCTCCACTTTCTGATGTCGTTCCACAATGTTTTAAATTCTTCAAAACCGAGTTTGCCGGAGTGATCTGCATCCAACATAGCAACCATACTGCGACATATATCTTTGCTGAAACCTCTGTCATGAGTCTCTGCAATTTAAGAAAGAAACTCATTTTGTCTATTGCAATCTTTATGTAAGAGAAAATTTCTAACATTAAAATTTAGATACGTACAAAAAATTTACATAAAATGAAAATGAAAATGTAAGGATATTACAATTTTTTGAAAGTGTTAAAAGATAGAAATGCTTTTGATATATCATATAATAGAAATGACAAATTCGATGATTAATGGATACAGCTACATTGCAAACTTTACACGTGTGCCGACGAATTTAAGCGATTCGTTAATGTTCCATTCTCTGTTAATTAAAAGCATGCGGTAGATATTTCTCTTCGAAGATTTCGAAGGTCCTACCTTGTGGAAGACACAAAATAAAATGTCAATGCCTGCTAATCATTTTGACATTGACATCATCAGTCATTCACCATATACGAGAGCTAATAAAAGCGCGTTTCGTGTGCTAACAATATTAGGGACAAATAAACGGACAAGTGTTCTCCAACATAATCATCACGACGTAACGCAACTGGTAAAACAATCCTGTAGTAGGAGATGTGTTTGTCTTACCTACGGGTTTATTGTACTGTTCATTATTACAAACAATGCCGCACAGCAGTGAGATGAGAGTCTCGACAAACGAACCATTTCCTTCAACAGTTTCGGGAGCCTCGCTACGCTGCGCCAACTGCGGTAACTCTACCCGTAACACACAGCTACATGTTAGCTTCGAATTTTACATACGTACGTTTGGGCCATAAGAATTCATACATTTACATCCCGTATTTACAATTTAAATTACAATTCATATTTCGTTAACTTTTAGATTGTCTTTAACAAGCTGATTCTTTAAAAATTAAATATTTTAATTTTTACAGACATTCTCACATCATTTATATAATATATATTTCTCTGTGCTTATTTATTAAAAAATCATATTATTTCAACTGTTTCGAATTTTTTAAATAGTTTTAATTGATCTTATTAACATTTTTCATAATATTGATATTAGACCAATTATTTTTCAAGGACCCAAATGTATTTATGTATAGGTACAAATTACAAGGTAAGAGATAAGCATGCAGAATTAACATGATCATTAAAATGCTGTACAGGCGTGCCGAAAGAATAAAGTAATTTTTAACGAGAAATCGTAGGAGCAAATTTATAATAAATTAATCCGCTATCAGGCTAAAAGTAAACAATGCAGGTAATAAAATATCCGAAATATGTGATTAATGACGAAGCATGACTAAACGTATGATTATATCAATGATTATAAGAAACATCGAGCAATTAAGCAAAAAATTACAAAAAGCTACAAAGCGAAGCTCTTATAATTAGAATAAAGTATAAGTATTATGTTTTTGTAATATCTTATTCAGAACTGTACATACTCTTTTTTATACTTATTTTTTTTTATGTGGAGATAAATCTCATAAGCAATGCGCAGATAATATTTACCTTTCCTCATGGCGAAATCTAAGATATCTTTCAGCTCCATCCAGTCCACTTCTAAATCATCGCCAGCAAGTTTCTTGAAGAATTCTCGGACTTTCTCGGTATTGCGGTCTTGTTCGGGTTCCTCGGGAACCTAAAAATAATACAAAAAATCTTTTTATGTGATAAAGACAATCGTAATTTGAGTCTATGAACTCTGCATCTATTCCACAAAAAAAAATCGAATTCAGATCAAGTACGTTTTTTTACTTAATTCTCAACACACACACACACACACACATACACATGCACACAAAATATATTATAGCTTGTTGTTGCCTTAACATACAAGCTTGCATTTTACTTACGTTATCTCCATTTTGACCTTCCTTACCGCCCGCGGGATTAATTACCTAAAAGCCAAGCGATATAAACATGCGAGTTGTTAGCGATCAGTTGCAAGTGACATTCTAAATCTTCACGTGACTGTTAATTATTAGACGGCACAATATCAAATTTTACACGCTTTAGCTAGGCACAAGACTTAATGCATAGTATTGATTAATTCTACGTTTTCTGTGCAATTGAGCATAAATTGATTCAATGCATTACTAATCTGTGATTACATTCTTTTCAAGATGCATATATTCGTCAAACTGTGAATTATTAGTGCTGTCAGTGCTGTGAATTAGTGGATATTTTGTAACTTAATTGTATGAGATAATATATTTATCGCGTTAGTATGATATAATTAATTAAATAGCATTAGTATAAGCTGACAGTCCAATGTCTGAGAATTTTATGCATAATTATCCTCAATTCTGATTAGTAGTAGAAGTGAGTAAATTTTCTTCTTTAAATATATAATATATGAGATTTTTTTTAGCAATCATTCATCAATTTGTTATTACAATAAACAAAATAATTTATATCGCTTTAGAATTAATCTATTATTATAGACATATTGATTTTTTATTTATTCGAAAATTCACACGATTCTTACCCTATCATCAACTTCTCCTATACCGACTTCATCATCATTTTCTCTGTAAACAAATAAAAATACTTGAATAAAAGTTCTTTAATGTCGTGATACATATATCAATGTCGCAACAGAACTTACTCCATATTGTTCTTGTTCTCGGAGAAGATTCTCAATAAGAATTCACCTTCCTCGTTCGGATCGAAAGTACTCGGAACTATGCAGTAAACACCCGGCGGCAATTTAAAACGACATGTAACTTCTCGTAAATTTATAAATGCCGGTGAACGTCCAACAGACGCGTTGTATTTGAAGAAATTCATGTCTAGTGGTTTTGGTAGTCTGTCCGGATACTCCAACTGTAGATTAAAAATAGATTTATTAACTGAAAATTTCATATTCTTTACTTTTTATCTTTTAATGTTGATTCATTGAAACTTTATATATTCTTCGAATAATCTATTAGCTTTCCAATATAAAAGCTATGTATGTAATAAAAAATATAATTTATAAACTATAGTAAAATTTTATTTTCTTGGAAGTGTTGAAAATAAATATTTGAATCTTTAAATAAATCGAATTGTGAATGTATTGTATTATTGGAGATCATATAAGAATCAATCGATTTTACATACATGATATATCGCGAATCCGACAGTGAGGCAATCAGCACCCATCCTTCTTTGCGCCCTTCTGTTTTTTTGCATTAGAGCGACGATTACGGTACACTTGTCATCATCGTCATCTGGATGTTCCAGCGTAATACGATACTGCGGATTATGCCAGAAGGTCTCTGCGAGATGTATTTTTTATTTAATAGAAAAACGCTCCTACGAAATTTCGTTGAGTACACGGAGAGAATTTTATTTTAGAATTTACCCTGAAAATCATGTTAATCATAGGACAACGTAGTATTTCGACGAATTTTATATAATTTTCACTATTTTTTTAAATATATACTACAACAAATTTATTGTAGTGTACAATAAAATTTGTCGAAATAATATGTTGTCCTACGATTAACAAAATTTTCAGGGTAAATTTTAGAAGAAAATTCTCTCCGTAAATATATGCATATCTCACCTAAAAAGTTTCTGCAACCACCCGCTGTCACTCCGCGCACCCATTCTCCCTCGAATACGCTCATCTCCCACCGTTTCTTCCCGGCGCTGATATCATTCGACGTTAACGAATCGGGATTCAAATTGCATATCTCGAGTTGAGTGAAGTGACGGGTGAAATCTTGAAACGACATCCAAAACTCGCCGTCCATATCAAAGGTCAGGCCAAGCTCCTCTTTCTCATGATCGGGGATGAATCTCCATTCCGGTGATCTGTCGATGGACGACGAAAGCGTTAACTTGGGGAGGGGGGGATTGCGTTCCATTTAACGCTCGCAACGCTCTTGGAATTATTTCCTTGTTGTTTATTAAATGGAATTATATCCTTGTTGTTTATTAAATGTTTAACAAGAACAAGTAATATTTGCGAGCGTTACGAGCGTTAAATGGAACACAACCTTGGAAATATAATTGTCAAAACGTAGGGAGAGAGTACTCACTGATCGCTCCAAGGTCCATTCCATTCCGCCTCGTTTCCCCAAGGATTCCGAAGCCTCAATAAAGGTATGGTACCGTACCGATTCGGCATATGAATTTCCACGTTCTTCACACGAGTGACGCTGTATGCGTGACCACGTATCAATCCTTGAGGTGTTTCGGCCTCCAATATGTTGGGATCGGGCTAAAAGGGACAAGAGATCAAAATAATAATCGATTGAAACCTGCGAAAATAATAAAATGTTATAAATTGTTAATTCACACCTCGATGGAACAACCCAGCAATGAATTCCTCTCAAAGGCTTTTAACAATATGTTGAACAAATTCGGCGGCGTTTGATCCATTTGATACATTTCCGTTACTCCACCAGTGAAATCCTCCATGGCCTCGCAGGTTGTGCCGCCCTTTAACGCCTCGTAAGAGCCATGAAGTTTCGCGTATGCTTTCTCGAGAAGGGCGCTCCAAAATTCATTACTCTCGGCCGAATGCAAGTACACCAATTCTCCACGACAGGTGGGCAGTCGATCGTCAATCACTACATCGACCCATCTACCGTACTGCCAAAATCTAATGTGCGTAAATATCTTAAATGAGTCCTTTCCAAGCTAAGCAACTTATAATTTAACAGAAATTTTTTCATACAAATGTCACAGAACCAAAATGAAATATAAGAATTCATAACACTCTACTTGGTGATTAACGAAATGTATGTAGACATACGTAATTCATATATATAAATATTCCGGTTTATATGAAAATTAATTATAAGAATAGATGTAAATTAAATTAGTTTTTTGTCACGTTGGAAAAGCGTTGTTTGCAAAATTGGTTGCGCTCTAGTCGAACCTGAAGTGAAAGATTCCTGCGTAATTTTCATCGAAGCTTTGATCTTCTGGCACTATTTGAAAGAACAAATTTGAATGCATAGTCAGATTCGCCACGGCAGCCAGCAACCAGCAGTCTCCTAGCTCTCCTTGCTGAACGTCGAATCTCGAGAAACCCTCCACGAAGAGCTGAGGATCATCCGCGATTTCCTGCGAAGTATATTATAGCATTGTAGGTCGTTGAGACCAGAGATCTCTTCGCGTGTTTTTGATTTGTAAATTATTCTCGAACGAAGCTAATAAAACTTGGGATAATTCAGAATATTTCTAACCATCGGTCGCTTCCATTCTATGTATCTGTCCGGTCTGCGGGAGAAGTATAGCGACGAGTCGTTGGCCGGGAATTCAGGATCCTCGAAGAGTCTCCCCGTTGCCAAGCACTCTCGTCTCAACGTATTGAAATCCTGGATCTCTCCCCGTGATCTGAGGCCGGATCCCTTCTCCCCTAACTGCGAACATCGGTTTGTGCATCAAGTCGTGCATACGCGAATTTACTTTAGAGAAAAAAAAAAAGAAACAAAAATTGCGATTTCCGAGGTATGGCCTACATTATAGCAGGATTTTCCGATAAAATTTTTTGTTGTTCGTATCGCATTATCCTGATACGGTTTTTTACGCTCCCTCGCCGTAGACTCGTGGGACTCGTTCAACAAGCTCGCTATCGAATTTTTAGGAGCAACCTCGCGTTCGGTCGAGTAAAGGATGTTATTGTTCCTGCCAATTATTTTGTCGTTTGTGAATCTCGTAGACTCGACACTAGATCCGACTTTTAGAACCGCCAGACCTTCTTGCATGTAATTGGAGTAACGATAATTGGCATATTTGCTACGTCGTAGATCCATGTCGGTGAATTGACGAAAAGAAACCGGATAACTTTACATGCGGAAGGGAATAAACGCGCGTCCAGAAAAAATCGTCACATAACGTATTCAGTAAAATAGGTTCTCTTCTTGCGCGAAAACGTGTAACTGAGACGAAATGGGAAGTGAAACTGCACACTACTGTGGAAAAAGCTCCACCGAACTTGGAGATTTCGATACAGCTATCGTTTGTGGAAATAGTGATATGATAACATTACCGGAAGACAACTGACCGCAATTTAGATTGTGATATTGCTTGATAAAAATATGCGAACAACTGCGCATATTTAAAAAGATAGCACATTGATAAACGGTATGGTGCAGAAATGCATTTTTTAGTAGTCCAACGTAAGTATTACAACGAGCAAAATACTGCCCAACCAATGTGTCTATGGCAAAATATATTTATCCCATCTTATTAATTTATATTACAATTATTTTTTAAATTGTTTTTGAAAATATTAAAAAATTCGATCAAACAAATAGAGATTAGTGAAAGTAGGCAGCTATGAAACGAAATGCAAAGTGCGCATTCAAGTATCTAAACAATATTGACGAATTTAGCATTCCAAAAGGAGAACATTTCGATCTTTATTTAGATTATTTTCAATTTGTACGATATATTACCAATAATTAATTTAAATACATTATGCATTTATATTATAAATTGATACACAAAAAGTTATTGAACTAAAAGATTTTGAATGAAATAATAATCTCATAATAATAAACTACATTACATTTTTAATTACAAATAGTTACAAGAAAGCAATTTTAATGATATTACTTTAGTAAAACTATTTGTTATGTAACTTATTTATACATTTAAGTGTATGTGTAATTATATTTATCTATATATTTAATAATTATCTGTAATTATTATTACGCTACATTTACACTGTATTTCATTTTTTTTTTTTTTCGTTACTTTCGCTAATTTTCCAATTTATGAACAACATTTTGAAAGTTTCTCCATCGGAATTTAAATAATTTTACATGCTTTTGTAAAAACACGTGGACAGTATGAATACCATCGTATTGACACATCCTATGACGCATTATTCTATTGAATAAAAACGTATCGTGCAAGAATGACATTGTATCAATTACATACACATTTCTCGTACAATGCCGTCATCGTTATTGCCATCACCATCGGTGTCGCTATTAGAACACTTAGCTTGCATGCGTATCTTATAAACGACGTAAATAATTATGCGTGACATTAAATTAAAGAGAGTTTTAGTATCCACATTGTAAAAGACTAAAGATCAATGAAGATTAATGCACGATTTTTCGATATCAATCTGGGAAATATTTTTGGTGCCGGAAAAGTAGGAGATGTTAAATGATTGTGAAAGGAATTGATCAATCACGCGATTTTTCTATATGTTACGATATTTTATTTCAATATGCTGTGCACATGTTACATGAATTTATGAAGATGTTTAAGTTAAGTTTCTATAAAAAAAAGGCTCATATATACTAAGTTATGCTTGTATCAAAATACGAAAATAGCTCATCCTTGTAAATAGTAAATATTTTTCTCGTAAAAAAAATATTCGATAATTTTAAGACATATATTCATCGACATAATTTAATTTTAATGTTTAACATAAATAATTGGGAATTAAAAAAAGTGTTTTAAATTCTGTAATCATAATTATTCTTCTATCGTTTACATTATTTCTTGAAATTTATTTCTTAGTTATTTACATGAAATATAAATTTCAAATTACACAATTTGATAGAATCACGAATTAGAAATTGTCACTTCTAATTATTAGGAAATTAAACTAAAAATATAGTTAATAAATTAATAGTTGTTACTTAAAAATTTTTTAAAAAGAAATTAATTACGTATTTTTATTTGCGTTTACATTCCTATTGTCATTATTGTATAATTATGCATTCAAAGCTAGCCTTTATCATTTACTTGAAACTTTCTAATTATCATTTTTATAATCAGAATTATAATTAAAAATTATCGTTATAATTAAATAAGTATTATTATTTAAAATTTATTTTCATTTATAATAAAAAGAAAGCCAAACAAAAAAAGAAAATGATAAAATCAATACGCAAAAAACTTGAAAAAAACATCAGACGATAAAAGATTTATTTTGATTAACACTTGTCTCGCGACGAGAAAGATTCGAAGAATTTATCTACTAGTGAAGATACTGAAGTATCGAAGTTTGCGAGCTTCATGACTCATTGGCTGCATGCCATTGGCAGTGCCAGCAGCCCTTTGCCCTCTGAGACAAGTAAGCGTACCACTTTGATGTTGAAGAGCGACGGTAAGAATCGCTTGATCTCGACCGCCGTCTTAACGAACACGTCCTCGGCGCCATCTCCATCGCCGTAACCGCCGTAGTAACTCATCGCACTCGTTTCTCTCTCCTTTTTGTTTCGACTACGTCCAAATGCGAATTGAATTCCGAATTATTTCGAAAAACACCGATCGTTCGAGCGAACAACGCAGCCAGAATTTCCGTTGCCGTCTCGAGTCTCCAACTCTCCAATATCCGTATCACGAGTGTCACAACGTTCGTTACATGTAACTGGCACGGAGTACGAAGCGCGAGATGCTCCGACGCGGACGTGAAACCATTACAGCCTGACAGATTCTACGACGCGCCGGCTTCAGCCACGGGGCTTAAATCATTAAACTCTCACCGGCCTCACCCATGACTTTTCCCCTTAGGCTTTACATTTTGTCATGCACCGCAGGTATATACATCAGTGTATATAGCTTTCGAAATAACCTTGACAAAGCACACGCACGTCGCACACACGCTGAACCAGCTGAACGCTCACTTTCAGTGGCGAGTGTGGCGACACTGGCGATTGGTGGCGACTTTCGGGACTCAGATTACAAACGCGATTGGTTGTTATCTTTAAATCTAACCGATGGATGGCGCTCGCCTCAGTTCGCAGCTCGCCCGGCTCGCAGCGCCATTTTGAAAGCCTCGATCAGCATCATACAGCATCATCATACAGCATGCGCGCGATTTGAAACGGCGGACATATGACTCTTTTGTGGTTTTTATATAATTAGTAAGACCAATTGATTGTGTTAATTAGTCGTTGCATCTGTCAGCCGCTATACAGGTCGCTCCAAAATTCTGGAAGCTCGTGTAAGGTACGTGTAGAGATACTCACCTCTATCTTTTTCGTCTCTTGTCGAACGAATTCTGGCTCGCATATCTCCCTGTTCCATCTGTACGAATTCATTTTCGTGCACTCGAAAATTCTTATCCCGCTGAGAGATCTGCGAATTATTGGAACTTTGTGAGACGGTCGTTAGAGTCCAATTTATCGATGACCGTGTGTCTTCCTCGTAACGATGCCAAAGATCTTTGTTTTAACTGATTAACCTCACTTTTTTTACGATGTTATTACTGTCAATATCACGATAACACCGACTCTGTCATCAAGGTTGCGCGAGTTATGACTATGAGAAGGTTAAACGTCGTTGATACGCGAGCACGTTGGATTATCTTTCTGAATGATTGTATTGTTCAGCAATTCTGCGACAGTGTCGTAATATGCCGCGTGCGTCAAGATGCACATTGCATATGCATGTTGCGCGCGTGCAATATGTGTGTGGTGTATCTATATATTCTTAATTATCTTATAATATTAATTTAATATTATCACATTAATTTGTTTTGCTCAAATTATTATGTTGATAGTTCTTTCCAAATCATAAATCGATCGTTGAAATAATTTCTCAACATTGATAAACATTTGAAAAATATAATCCGAATTAAATTCAACTCCGGTTGCACACATATACAGGATGTCCCAAAATTCGCGACTCAAAATATCATAAGAAAGCTTTGAAACAGTTAAGTAAAAAAGTTATTTGTAAATTTTTATTTTAAGCAGTAGTTTTTGAGATACAAGAGTTTAAATTTGGCCAATTATAGATTATGATTAAATGAAAGCATGTCCACGTGAGCAGCGCGTAGTGTTAGTGGTTGCGCACTTCACACGTGTAATTTAATATAATTGACTAAATTTAAACTTTTATATTTCAAAAACTATTGTTTAAAATAAAGATTTACAAATAACTTTTTTACTTAATTTTTCAAAGACTTTCTTGCTATGACATTTTGATTCGCAAATTTCGAGACACTGTATATATATTTTATGTGTGAAAATAAAAAATAAACAATATGACCACGTAGTCATACGTTAATATTCAAGTCACAAAATATGATTTGTCTGAAAATCAGTTGTTTTTAAAACTTTTATCTAGAATTCTCTTTACTTACATCTATAAATCTATTCAAGTCGATGCAGTAAACTTTACACTGTATCAAAGGGATATCTGTTAGATGTTTAACTTACGCCAGATGTTTACAATGCACTAAACTGATAGACTTTCGGGACGACCGCCAAACCGTTCCGTCTGAAGATCGGTATTACTTTTTAGAATCGCTCGAGTCTTAAAACAAATTCCGTCTATCGGTGATTTCTATCGTTTATATGTTACGACATTTGCGTGCCGACAATCGGTTCCCCCAACAATTGTCTATAATCGCACGCAATTATAATCAACACACGCAATTTTGCCAATTTGTAAACACAATAGCGAGGAGCGGAATCCGGGATCAGAAGCTGTGATATCGCTGCTAGCTCGGCGCGAAATAACGCGAGTCGTGTATCCGGCCGTGTCTTTATCAGCTTTTACCTGGAGGAAATTGGCTCTGTCGCGTTTCGCGGAAACTACTCTTTTACGTCACGGTCGACTTAATTGGCGCGGAGTCAGAATCATCGAGTTACGATACAGCACGTGCTACCGTGACAGCGGTTATTGTTGCAAATTAGTGTGCGTCGCGTTTTGCCGCCGGTACCGTAATCATGTATATTTGTATATATGCCAGCTCAAACGCACTTATGTTACCATTTCTAGTTTTCATTACCATTAGAAATCGGGTTCGCGTTGTGCGCCACAACGCGATGGTGTGGTGATTGTGATGTCATTCAATGGTCGGAAAACCATTACAAAGCAGATGTTCAATGTCTGCAGACACGAAGACATTATTACGTTGTAAAGTAAGTAAACATACTGGCAGATACATAAATAGACTTGTTGAAACGCAAAATTGCAGAAACGCTCATTAAATGAATTTTGTTTCCATATATTCTGACAGAAAATAGAAAATATCTTGTAAAGTAATAATTTTTCAACGATTTTACCTTAATGCTTTTATATATAGAAGAATCAATTTATATAAGAAAAGACACATATGTAAATTGTATGTTAAATATGCAAATTACTTGATTTATTAAAACCGAGAATTGCTTCTAGTTCTGACAGGATTAATTTTTCGATCTGCTGTATTCATTGAGTATTTTTTATTTAACATAGCGAGTACTATCTACTCTTCTCCCTATTAATTCTTAACTTATTCCTATTAACTCCCTATTAATTCTTTGAATTTTTTTTGCATTACTGAACTCTACACATTTATGTAGCAGTCTTAAAAAAATTAAAACGCACAGAAAAGAATTGAAAAAGAAATCACTATTCGCAGGCATTGAGATATTCATTCTTTTAGGCTTTTTCACAATAATTCTTTATTTCGTGCGATAATCCGAAAACTACACTCTTTTTTTAGTGCTGTTAAAATTGTGGCACTATGCCGAACGTTCTATCGATCCGATGGCGCACCCTCATGCGTGTCATGGTCACTGTGTCATAGGTATTAAAGATGAACTTCATCTCTCATCTCATAATTTAGATGCAATCTAAATTGACAATTTAGCAATTACTGCTGTGTCGCAGTTAAATTGGTGAATAGAATAATTTAACCGGAAATTACTTCACAACAAAATAAAATAATCGTGCACAACGGTGATGATAAATGAAAACATTGATATTTAAAATTAACTAATTAATTTTTATCATCTAATTTATACAGCTATCATCGAATTAATTATTGCTGCTACTTTATAGCGGTCTTTAGACATTGCGTAACGTTGCAATTGTTTCTCTGTGATAAAATCTTTAAATTTATAGCAACAAATGTAATAATAATTACGCAAATGTAAAATTAGAATAATTAAATAATTTACATTAGAAGAATTGAAAATAAAACGTTATTGTCCAATTATCTTTTATTACGCGAATTTTATCTGGAAAATTCCATGATGTTGAATTCACACTGCGCTGATACTTATAATTACCCTTATAATTATGCTTGTTTATGTAAGAAGATCAATATCGTGAGTATTTTGCGGATCATCGTATCACAAATGTGTTAACCGATTTTTCGCGCAATTCGGGTCGCAATTCGAAAACTTGGTCGCAGATGACGACACCAGATGATACCGATTTTGTACTGCACGCAATCGTGCCGAAATGGACGCGGACGAGCGTGTGGTACGTGATACACTGGCTGGCATATCCGGTGAGATTCACTCTGTCCCTTCCCTTTTCAACCGCCCGAACTATTTCGCTTACGCGGCGCCAATATACGGGCGCTTGCTTACACGTGCACCACATTGAACCGCTTTCCCTTATAAGGGATTCCTATAAACACATTGCCGAAAAAGAAAGTTCAATCTGCAAACCGGTTCTCCACTCTGTTATAAAATATGTATAAACATATATGTAATGAAATTTTTATACAAATATGAAATTATAGTCATATTAATTGTATTATATGCGAGATATCGCATATTTATCGGATAGAATTTTACTCTTTATTTATTTAAAGTTAAAAATAAGTTTTAATTAAAAATTAATTTAATAGATTTATTTAAATTTGCTTGAAAAAAAATTGGTATATTATCTTTATTCCTTTTGAATTTTATAAGATACAGCAGTTAGCTCACTCGAGTTTCACTACTGTGTGAGCTTTACAGTAGATAAGACTTTCGAGATAATTTAATTTAATAAATGTTTAGAACTCACAATATCAAGTAACTTTCAAGCTAAGGCCACGAAGCACATTTTCGATCGACTAATCGCAAAAGTTATTTTAAGAATTTTGAAGAAGCTATGAGTCATTACGTTATGAGAACGGCTCAGGCGGCTCTTTTTCACTGCATCAACTCGACGATATCTTTCGCATCTCATAATCGATTTGTAAACCAGTTATTATCAGTGAAAAAAATAAAGTAAGTTAGATACTAAATCAGTCAATTAACGTCGCGTACGCTAGGTTCATTATCAATGAAAAACGAGAATAAACAATCTAGCTTTGACTTTAGATAAAAATATTCTGACATCAAACCAGCAAACATGAACACTTTGCGGTGATGAAACTATTAATGACAATAAATACAAAACAGACGTTTATCTTTCTGAACATTTATCCTTCTAAATTGAAGCTTTAAATATTAAAGATTATTACGAATGCTTTTAAATTATTATTTACGTATAATTTAATTTTTTTTATTTTATAGCTTTTTTCATTGAAATTTCTTCAAAGCTGTTTAGTTTGATTTATGAGCCCCTAATGCTACGATGCTAATTTTTAATAAAGTTGAATTTAAAAGATTTCGACATAGTATAAATTTACCTAATAATATTTTCATTTAATCCTTTATTTATTGAAATGCAGTTGCTATTGAAAAAGTAAACTTTCAACTTTGCAAGAGAGTTCACAAAATTCCCCCTGAAGAATCGCGATTTTAAGAGGATCGTGAAACATTAAAATTGTTGTGCAGACATCGTGGAGGCACGATCACGAGGGTAAAATGTCGGATGTTGCGAGCCTAAAAATATGTCGACTATACGCATCGTAGTTCACACGTGTGAGAGGGTTCGTGTTTTACATTTAAAAGTGAATTTGGCGATGTGCCAATGGTCTAATCCGAAAAAAATCTTTCTCACAGTGCGATAAGCTTTGATCGTCGAACGCGTTTAGCTCGCGTTGAATGTTCACCATTTATTCAATGAGCTAAAAAACATCGTAATAACAAACCTTGAAGGTAGTATTGGCAGGATGATGCACATCGCCGGAACCGGAGAGCCCTCCTCGTAATAAACGTGACAGAAGATTGTAGCGACCTAATGTCGACCACGCGTCCTTTGTTGCTTGTACAGGATATCTAAGCAAATATTTGTTTTTTTTTCTAATATAAAGTGCATATAAAAAAGATGTTTCCGAAGATGCATTGACAATAAATGAGAGAAAATGAGGAAACAAGAAACCAAGTACCTAATATCAATAAATTTTTTAGCAAATTGAACATTGATGTGAGATAACATTGATGTGTTGCAGCAAGTAAATTGATATTAGGTAATTAATTTAAGTATAATTGCTAAATAAAATATATCAAGAGACGAAATTGATTATTTTTCTACAAAAACTGTTTAAAAACATTCTCGCAAGTATCTGTTTTTGTTACATTTACCTTGTTTCTTCTTTGTTCTCTCAATTGTCCAACTTACTTTCTCAATTTAACTAATTTCTAAGTAGCGTGTAACAGTAGCATATAACATTTGAACGTTTAAAAGTAAAACACAAATTTTTATTAAACAATCATTAAAGTCACAGTTTTCAATAATATCAATTTTCAAAAATATATACAGTATCTATTTTTTGCATCATATTTTATATTTTTCCGCGAAAGAGAAACATTTCTAAAACTGAATTCTGAAAAGTCGAGTGAAATATATAATATGTATATAGATGTTCCGCGCTGATATTTCTGACATAGCTTGTCTCATCTTATTTTGCAGTCAAAAGTAAAACTCGTTACAGGGATTATGTGTTATTTACGGCTTACCCTTTTGCAAATTTATATGTTTTCTGTGGACGGCCATCTTCGACAATAGTTTTCACATAGTAGTACGAGTAACTCGACATCTCGTTCCGGGTCACAGGATCGCGAGAAACACGAAGCGAGGACAAATACAATCAGGGCTCATACGACGCTGGAATTCCATGCGCGAATTGTCCAACTACCGCGAATCGGACTGTCATCCTCTTTCCTTTGCTGCGTGTTCGCGTATGCCATGCGTACACGCTTAGCCTGATGCTGTGCGCTTATCTACTCCGCATATTCGTATGCACGGGCGTATATATAGCCGTCGCCGACGGTACTAAGAAAACTATGACGCTTTCCAAGATGTGACAATGTCGGTATCCACCGCAGAAGCCTCGTTGCCAGCGGTACACGATGTAAAACGTTTCTCTGAGAATGCGTCGGCTTGCCAGAGAACAAACGATGCAAAACGGAAAGGAAGGGAGAAATAGCTAACAATAACGCTAACCTGTCCTTCGATTAGAGTTATAGATGTTAAACCGGACCGCAAGTAATAAGCTGTTTTCGGTTGATTGAAATCTGAAATAAATCAAAAGAAACGAAGCCAATAATGTTTTTAAAATTAAGAATTATTGAAAAGGAAATATTAAATGATCCTATGCAAGTGCTTGAAATTTGAATATATTTATCGAGTTTATAAACGAGCTTCTAAATGATTGCATTATAAGCTCCATTGAAGAAAAGTTTATTAAGTACAATAGTAACACTAACTTTCATAAACACGCCTTTATTACGTTTCACATACAGATACATAGTGGCTGACTTTCATACGCTACGCGCACGTAAAATACATCGTCGTTGTAAGAAAAATAAAAAAGGGCTCATTGCTCTTTTTATTTCCTTCCTTCTCCCTCCCCCCCTCTCTATTTTCAAGACGCATTCATCACTGTCCGCTTTACGGTAGTGATGGTGCACCAAAGCATTAATGATTAGTTTTCTCTTTAATCGCTTTAATCTAAGAAGAGACGACGAAGATCATGTTCAGATTGTCGTCTCTTCTTCGATTAAAGAGAGAGATTGAGTCACGAGGTAGACGATCAGCCTACGGAGATTTTTACATCGATATTACAGTGTAACATTTTTTCCGACCATATCCGATGATGATCCTGCTGGCATCAATAGGGATCAATTTGATGTTATGTGACTCGAAAATATAACCATATAATATCAAATTAATCCCTATTGATGCCCGCTGAGATAATTAATTGTTTAGACAGACAGGAGACAATACGGCCGTACTATCTCCAACCAGGGATTTACTTTATGTCGAAGACAAGACTACTGCGTTTCTTACACCTTTAAATGTCAAATGTATATACATCACAAAAACATTTCTCAATCTTCAATTTCCAAATACATATCCACGTTTTTAACGTTGACTTCACGAGCTGTTATATCACTCTGATTAATTCACGCTCGAAAACCATATTAACGCGAATCAATAATTTTACAAATTCCTGTCCCATCACTATTACGGAATTAGGAAGTTTACTCGACGAGATCACCTTGCAGAGTATGCGAGCGCGCGCGCGCGCTAATTATATACATAATTTGCCTGTTTTGCTTTTGTTTGTAACAATTTTTTTTTCTTTCGAAGTCTTCTTCGCCTGTCTTTCTTATGGAAACCAATGTTAGACGCGCATGAAAAAAGACAATATTATTTCCATAAAAAAGGGACACACAGTTCGTAGAACTCCCCTTGCCTCTCTGTGGATCCAGGTTAACAAAAACGCGCAACAGTGGTTTCTATAAAAAAGTCCATAAAGACAGATTCGCGGTTTTCTGTGATTTCACAGAAATTCACAGCAGAGTCTCCTTGGAATAGTAACGACGTGATTTGTTGTTCTGGGCCCACAGAGGCGAGGAGAGCTCAATCGCAACTCGTAGAACTCCCCTCTCCTCTATGGCCCCCGGACAACGAAAAAAGCGCCCAACATTGATTTCCATAAAAAAGCCCATGAAGACAGATTCGTGATTTTCTGTGATTTCCATTCACAGTAGAGTCTCCTCGGAATAGTAACGACGTGATTCGTTGTCCTGGGCCCACAGAGGCGAGGAGAGTTGCGTGTCCCTTATAATCGCAGTCGTTGTGGCCGATCGTTGCAGCTGCAACCGATGAGCAACATTGCAGCCGAGCGCGGCCGGACAGTCTCGTCAACCCCCCTCGGATAAATCTCAGCAGGAGCACTCTTCCTCCCTTGGCAGTTCGTGACCCAGGGAGTCCTTTATTGCAAAAGCGAGAATGTCTTAATATAAATAGAGGGAATTGTATCAAAATTAGAAAAATTACATTACAAATATTAATAATACAAAGAAAAACTAATCATTAATGCTTTCTCTAGATTTCTTACTGAATTTTCTAGGCTTCATTGAACAGTAATTCAGAGAGTCTTCTAAAATTTATGAAAAAAGAAAAAACAAGACATCTTATTAATTCGCAATCAAGGAGTTTGTACATAAAAATGCATGAAAAACATATTAAATATATTAATATATTAATTATTGATTCAATTTTTTTTTATTTTTTATTTTTCGAAAAATTATTTCTTTATATCGTACTATATACAGTATTGTTTCTTCTGCAGACTTAATAAGCTTTTGTATTTTTAAAAATACTATATTAGCCCTCCATTTCGCGGAAAACCCCTTGATCGTAAATATTCGAGTTCGTCGGACAAATTCTGTTTTAGTGTTAAGTACCTTCGATCAAGGAGCACGATCATGTACAGATGGAAACTTTGCAAGACGCCGGATGTAGGGGGGAGGTCAAGTTACCTTCCTTAGTTCCATACTGCCCGGCGTGCTTGAGCGTGTTCGTGTTGTGATCTCGTAAGGGATAGTGCCTCTGCTGAGCGCGCTTGGGTCCAGACTCAGGGTCGCTTTCAGAGTATTCTTCTTTACCATTCCGTTCACATTACTAACGTTAGCGTTGAGGCCGATGATACGACTTGGTGAGCAAGTGCGCGTATTGGGTGACGAATTCGTTATCGTGTCGGGCGGAGTGTCCGAGGATTGCGCTATCAGAGAGTCGCTGTTGGTGTCGGTAGTCGTTGTACTCTCATTGCCGTTTTTACGATCCGTTATTGCACTATCGATGTTGGCAGTCATGTGACATTCATCCTCTGGACGGTTGTTGCCGTTATCTATGTTATCGCGCTTTTCGATGTCGCTGGTTCGATGAATTGCCCTGTTGTCTTGTCGATCAATCCTATAGAGTTTGCCCTATAGAGATTATGTAAAGAATATTCTTAGTAGTAATATAACTGCAATTGTAAAATAAAAAATATAATGCAGCATTAAGATAATTTTGAATGTAATGTGAAACATTTATTCTTCTCTTATTTCTACTGAATAAGATTCTTATTGACACTGGCGTATTTTTTGCGCGCCGCTCTCCGTTTATTTTAACTTCTAATATATTCATATTATATAATTAATTTTAATACAAGAAGGAAGATTTGTGGTAGAGGAATCTAAATAAAAGAGTTAATTAAGATAAATAATAAATAATAATTAACCTCTTAAGGATAATGATTAAATAAAAAAAAATAATGACAAGTTTTCCAAAGTTTCCAAATATGTACCTTGCAATCTCCGGCGGTCACTTCATCGTCACGATCTTCATCATGATCATTGTCGCTGTTGTAATTTTGCTCAAAAGCATCCACGCTAGAAGCGTACGTGTTACAACTGAGTGTCCCTTGATGACATCCTGTCGATCTCGTATAAGACCCGCCGTACAACTTGCAGTCTTCGATCGATTTTTCATTTTCTGAATCATAGGTACTACCCATAGCTTGATCCACGCGACGTGCAACGGATTGTGGATCGATGAGTTTTGGTTGCATATAACCGCCATCCAACTGTCGGATAAGTTTAAAGCTCAGATTTTACACATATGTCGAACAAGATATAATATTTTATCACAGTTTATTTTATAACTTATACTGACATCAGATTGCACGTTGATGCATCTTCCTTCCATTTCATTACAGATTGCCAATATGTCAAAATTAGGCGGGGGTTGATTTATCACATCAGGATCCTTAGTAAAAAAAATATTAATTTGTTGATTATACTGCCTCAGATAATATTTAAATTATTATAAGTAATGAGATTGATTTTATGTAAAAATAAGACAATTTCAATTGCGCTTTCACCTGCAAACAATAACCGATTCTTTCGGAAATGGTGGCGAAACTTGGTCTCTTTTCAGGCTGTGAAGACCAACACCTCATCATGATTCCATATATGGGATCTGGGCATCCCGTGGGTTGCGCGAGACGTCCACCGGATCGTACTAACGATATGACTTCGGGATTTCCACATCCGGTGTAGGGCATATATCCGAATGACATAATCTCCCATAGAAGTACGCCAAAAGACCTAAAAATTACGTTACAAAAATGTCATAGGCTCTACTTCTTATGTATTTTACATTATTATGAGTTCTTTTTTCGCTATAAAACTTTAATTTTAATCAAAATGAATTAGCGAAAAAGCGAAAAAAGTGTGTATTTTGCGAAAAAGAAAATTTATATAGAATTAATTTTTTTAGCAAATAAAATTACGAAATCTCACCAGACATCGGTCTTCGTAGTGAATATGCCGTCCATAAAGCTTTCAGGTGGCATCCATTTTATGGGCAGCATCGCCCTGCCGTCTTTTTTATAATAATCGCTTCGATAAATGTCCCTGGCCATACCGAAATCCGCGATTTTAACGGTGCGGCCCGGTGCTTTAGTGGTTAATAAACAGTTCCTAGCAGCAATATCGCGGTGTATAAAACGCGCTTCCTCCATATATTTACAACCATTTGCAACATCATAACTGAACATAATGAGGTCTAGCATCGTCAATGATGTAGATCGGTCCTATAAAAGATATGTAAATATATATATATACATATATGCGTCTTAAAAATTAGATAAAAATACAAACTCTAATAGAAATATTTGAATAAACTATAGCTACATATGTAAAATAGATGAGAACTATAGTGCGATGTCTTTCATTCTCACTTTTCTCTTAAATTAATAGTGTTATGGTAACATTATTAATACTCACTGAACGAGGCCGTTCTTCACGTAAAAAATTCTTGAGATCACCTCCGGCTAATAATTCGAGAACGATGTATCTCGGATGTTTGTCGAAGCAGACACCGATAAAGTGTACTATGTTAGGATGATCAAATTTGCTCATTATCAATGCCTCCGTCATGAAATCAGCTTCTACGTGCGTCGTGGATACAGACGTTGTTTTAACGGCGACGGGTTGTTCTTCATTGCGTCTGTATTTGTACACGCCCTGGTAAACTATGCCAAAGGCGCCTTGGCCGAGGGGTCTGCGTTAAAAATATAATTGATTGTGTTTACTTTATATTTCACGTAATTTCATTGGTTTATATTATTCGTACTAACTTTACTAAAGTAATACAATCTCGGGGTATTTGCGGCAAATCCTTGAAACTGTAGAGATTGCCGGCAAACTCGTAATTGGGGTTGAATTCGGTCATCATCGTATCCGATATGTGTCCTGGACGCAATGCAGCTAATTCGGTGCCATTACCAAACATTGCTTGACGGCGATGCGAAAGTGCTTTCTGTTTTTTATATCGTTTATCTGTAAATCGGAAAATGTACGGTATGCAAGAGAAATAAATGCGGAAGAATCTATGTTTCACATTATTTAATTTGTTGCATTATAAAACTATAAAAGATTTTTGTGTACTTACAAGATATTAGGCAAATTCCAATAATAGTGAACAGGCCAATGACTACAACTAGTTGGATCATGTATGTGTGTTGGCCACCCTTGGTATCGTCAGCCACTAAAATTCAACATGATTTTAATAATTACATTTAATAATAAGATAGTAATACGTTATCGCGCGGTTGTGCTTACTGATGCAAGATTTGGAGTCGTTACTGAGCAACCAACCCTGAGGACAGAGACACTTGGTCTCGCTCATGTATTGATCGAGAGCGACACAACGGTAATCGCAATTGCAACCGCTGATCGCGGGAATGATGAAGATCTCACCCGGGCCAGAATGAGCTGCAGCTTTGAAATAAACATCAGTGAGCTTCTTTTGACTGGCATATGAATAACCACCCTCACCACTTCCTTGATTGCGCCCGGCATTTCCGCCTGAAAAACGTAAAGTTACTTCTAGTTACTTCTCTACTGATGTTGAGGATCATTATTTATGTACATAAATTTAAAGCTATGTACATAAATTAAAATTAAATTAAAAGATTTATTTTCTCAGTATTTCTTCAATCTTAATTTCTCAGTTGCAATTTGTGAAACGTTTGTACTGTTTACAATAATATGTATACATTATAGACGTAAATATATTAGAGAAACGTATATAGTGATATTTAAACGTTGTAGAATGTGAATTTGAATATTTTATCTTTCTTTTTACCAACATAACCACCGCCACCACCCCCTGATTGGCAACCGCCTCCACCTCCGCCGAAGCCTCCGTTACCATGGCCATCGTTTCCGGATTCGCAACCCTGACCTCCTACACCTCCATGAATTAATGGCATTCCCCAAGCCTTTTTTTGGAAATTAGGCCATGTACCGTTCCAACTAGCACCGGGTCCACCTAACAGAAACCGAAAATTTCTATTTGAATTTACATTTTTTTCTACTTTCTAAGTTACATTCTTGATTCTTATAAAAATGCAACTCAGAAATTCTTATTATGCACTTTAGCGAAAAGAGTTAGTTACCCATGCGTTCTGAGACAAGGGACGGAGTAGATAAATGTCTACCCGCGGGAAAGGGACCGCGCCCATGCTGTAATCCATTGTCCGAAGACGGATTCAACCCCAAACCGCCACCGCCACCCGCGATTAGAATAGGTTCCGGATCGCCGTTTGCTTTCAACTATAATCGATTACGGAATTACATTGAATTTGTACAATAATGACAAGGGAACTAATGAAAGGAATAAGATTTTTTCTTTATACAAAACATTATTATGAAATTCTAATGAAATATTTACATGATTCAGCTATAATAAAAAAATGGCGCGTTTTTTTTTATTCTTTGTTAGTTTACTAAAGATAGATATTTATGTATAATATATATATTACTTACTGTCAAGATAGCTGTCGCACCACCGCCGCCGCCACCTGGATTTTTAAACTCAATTCTCTTCACTTGTCGTACTTTTGATGTTGTCTGCTGCGATAAGTCGGTTATTTGATCCGATGATGGACAAGTGGTTGTCTTTAAGCCGAGATTCTAATTGACAAAATCAATAATATGCATTTTATTATAAACAATAATAGACTAAACAAATAGAAAACATTCCATAATTTCTAACTCGGAGAAAGAATTTTGCTTATGCAAATTAAACCGAGCATGTAGAATGAAATTTTTTTTGAACCTATATGAACTTTCGAGAAAATTGATTTTATAATATTCTAAAGGAAGAAGCGAAATATTAATATTGAAATAAATTCATTAGACAATGGAATTTATGGAAGAATATATTATAATGAAAGTTATAAAATATAAATAAACTTAAGAATATAAAATACAATTTTTCACATTTTATTTTTTTTACTAAAAATAAATATATTCAAATTAAAGAAAAATTTATTCATTACATTTATTATATTCTTTTATGAAAACCTCTTCTTCCGATTATATTGGGTTGGGGAAAGTTACAATACTAACAATACTCACTTTGGCACATGCATCCGTTCCCTCTTGACCCATCATAAAATATAGTTGATCGCCTTTCTGGAGTTCTATGACTCCACGAACAAGCGCACCGAGAGAGAGGCCGGTATTACTCGAGCCTTGTCCTCCTCGTGCTCCAACGGCGATTATACTATTTTTGAAGACAATTTATAATTAGACGAGTCAAAACAATCTAAAACAACGCATTCACCGTAATATCCTGTTTATTACTTTCATGCATCCCACGAGTACATAATCTCAAAGGTATAATTTTTTCTAATTAACTGAGTACAGTAGTACATTAGCCCATGCGCTAACGAGATTTAAATTTTATCCATCTATGTCTGTGATTATTATAACAACAAATGGTGGTGAGATGCTTTTTCGTGTAAACATATTCTAGCACAATTATGCTTTTTTTAGAACATCTTTTTGATTAAGTTTCTTGTCATGTACATAATGAATATAAATATATATATATTTTTTTTTTTCTGACTGGATCTACTTACGTGTAATATTCACCACGAGGTGCTGTCCACCGTTGGACTCCCTCCAAATCCAAAGCTGATCTTTCCTCGACATCCTGATTTTTTATCGGGTCAAACAATTTTACATCCGTGTTATTATATATTCCTGTACAGTTCTCGCGAGTAGGGCCTTTCCTGCCGATAACCCCGCAAGTAGTAATTCGGATAACTGAAAATAGTAGTAGCATGTAATTGATGTAATTTGGTAATATTTCCGATAAATTTTTTAATTCGGTTGTAAAGAAGTAAAGATATTTTATATTTGAACTTGTATCTGTTATTTTTCTAGTAACATATATATGACATTCGAATTATTTTCTTTTATACGCACATAATTATTATAAAATTTATTTACTTTTTACTTTTTTAACTTATGTCCTAATGTAAAAAATTTTTTAACAACAGAAAAAAATAAATTGATGAATAAATAAGCTTTGTATAAAATATATTTTTCTGGAAAAAACAACACAAGATTTATAAAAACATTTTTCGAAGATTTTATGTCTATAATAAAATGAAATTAATATGTTACAGAAAACGTATAAATAATATTAAAAAAGTACAATTATAATAAACTATATTGAATGTATCACAACTTTGTGTACCTGTCTCATTTATAAAATCCGAATGCTGCAGTGGCACCTTTTCTGATTCAATCATAGGATTATAATAATTAAAGTCACCTACAACATTCCGTGGAACTCCTGCAGAAAAGAGACATTCATTTGCAAATGATAGCCAAAAATAATCAGTTACGAAATAAAGAGACGTTTAAAATTATGTTAAAATTACCAATGCCGAAACACTCTGGACTCAGGGAAATATCGTCGATTGCTATATCACTTTTTGGAGAAAACCCTTTTGCCGCTTCGAATTCTAAGTAGTATCTATAAATGCATATCATATCGATAAAATTTAGTTTCTTCATTCTTGTTCAAAACGAGAACTAAATGACATTGAATTTTGCATCAAATGTGTATATTACTAGCTTTCTGTACTTACCTATATTTTATATCAGGTAGAGCAATGGCTTCGTTAATCCAAACGTCGCTTTTATCTCCACCGTAAGACCACCACAAGTTATCGCTTAAATTTGCGTATGGTTTTATTTGGACCAAGAACAGTCCAAGAGATGCACTATGTGGACCATATTTGTTGTAGAAAAAACGTATCTAAAAATATTTTCCATACATAAGATATTTGTCAAAATAACTGGTAAAAAATCTTTCACTAAAAATAGAATAGCTTTCTGTCTAAACATCTTCTATTATATATAATATCTATATCAGATTATACTTTTTTAGATAATTTTCAAGAAGAAACCGTATTTATGGCCATTTGAAATAGAACAAATAGATACATCGATAGTCAATACTTCAAACTCAAATATAAGATTAAATAATCATTGATTTTATTTTATGGATTAAATGTATATTTTATTATAATTTATTACAACTTGATTTTATTGATTTCAGCTTAATGCGATTCATCGCTATTAAATTTTTTAAACATTATATTGTACATAAGACCGATTCAATCTCTGTGTTTTACACAAAATTTAAGGACAAGCACGATTATAAGTGTTAGATAACAACTGAATAAAAACATACCTGACACGATCGATAATAAGGGCTTTTAGGATCACTGCTGTAAGGTGGTGTTGGATTATACAGAGGACTTACTATGCTAGCTCGACTGCCATATGGAACAGATTTAGCCATATTTACGAATGCATACGTTCCTGTAAAATATATGACGAATTTTTAATTTTGTGGTTATGTGTGTATGTTACCCTTCTCGCCGCTTGCTCTATTCTCAAATACATACCAGTTTTATTACGATAAGTATGATCGTAACTAGGTCCAGTTCTTTCAGTGGGCGTGGGACCCTTATGTAGGGTCCAATTTAGAGGTCTCTCAGGAACATTTGTCCATCCACACCAACTGTCCTCGAAATTACATCTTGCGTTCTTTGGTATCTTGTCTACGAAATATTTTAAATGTTTAATTGTACGAAAAAACTTATATTCCAAAACGGCGCATAAAAGTTCTTATGTTACGAGTTTCGATTTTTAAGGAAATGTAAGGTGACGAATTTAGGATGTACGTACCACATTCGAGCGCCTCATCTTCGCCGTCGGCGCAATCTTTCGTGAAGTCACAGACACGGGTCTTGTTCAAGCAGGAGCCGTTGTTACACCGAAACATATTTTCGGTACAATCCCCAATAAATTCTAAGATAGATGCGCAAAAGAGTTATCACTTCTCAACTATAGAACAACTTTTTTATATATATTAATTTCTTTTAATACTATGACTGCCTTTGGCAATCGCATACATCACATTTTTTTTTTCAAAACCAGCTATTGATTATTATTGCTTCAAAACCCTTCCAGTATAATCAAGCGCTTTATTTTTCATTTAATTAGCTTAATTTGATGTATGAAGAAACATATACGTAAATTAAACAGAGAATGAGGTCATCGTATACAAATGCCGCAATTATCACAAAGGTAATAGGCAATATAGGCATTATTGATTGACAACATGACAATCAAAATATTCCATTAACTTAATTATTATTTGAAAATATTTTTATTAATTACCTGGAAAGCAATTAACTAGGCGAAGGTTATCAATGCCGATGCTCGCATTAGAATGGGGTACGTAAACTTCTATAAATAATTTATAGGGTTGATCGATTGCACGTAATGAGAAACTCATTTTTTTCCATCTAAAACAACGTTTAAGCGTATTCTTTAGCTGTTTTTTGAAAAATCTATATTATTATAGCATCGTAAAGAATATTCTCATGTACATACGTGGCGGAGTTATTTCCGCTTTTTGTCACCGCAATGGAGCTCATATTGTTAGTTTGTATGACGAGATTCAAGAATCCATTTTCCATTTCCACCATATAAAGCGAAAATTCAATGCGGCAATGCGGACCTGTGCGAGGAATCGATTTGGACGATATTTGGGCGTCTTGCCGCTGACCTTTGCCGCTGAACCACAAAAAATGGCCTTAAAAGAGATCGTCAATTAATTTTTTTTATTTACCATGTTATGCGAGATCGTAAATTATATATACATACGTAATTAAATATCAATTTTGAAACGATTACAAGTCAGATTTTCTTTAATTTTAGTTTGATTCTACTTTTATAGGCTTAATTTTACGAGTACAATATCATGGCTTAGGACTGTAATAATGTCGCATCCTGTTAATTAATCTTTAGCTTCATGTTAATTTCTCTTGAAAAAAGAACAGCTAAAAATTTTCGTACCATTTGAGGCATTATTGGCGTCTGTGATTGGAAAAAGTCTTGACAAATTAGTGCGTGACGCCTTGACTTTCTTGAAACCATGGGATTCGTCCCAGGACCAGTCGCACTCTATGTCCAAATCGCAATAACCAATTTGCGAATGTTGAGATGAATATTTTGATGATTTCGACCCCATAAAGTCCTTCCTATTCATTCCCTGCCTGAGCTTAGAACCGCAGGTCACTGTGATGAAGCAACAAATCAGGATGATTCGAAGCAACAATCCGCCGTCGTGTACAGACACGTGTCGACGACGACACGTGCGTCTCGTCTGACCCGCGACAGTCGCCAGCTTCGGCCGTGTGTCGTAGATCATTATTCTGCGATTTCGTCCAATGACTGTTTAATAATTAATAATAATAATTAAGTGGCAAAAAGGTAATAGAATATTGGTAAGAGCAAATGTTTATGCGAAATTTCGTTTATGCGACATCAAGTATAATATATCAAGTATAATATATGATCATAATCAAGTATAATATTCATTAATGTAAATACAGTCCATTTCTCACTTTTTAATCATTACCACCACTAATTCTTTAACATTATAATATGTTTAATTAAATTTATCTTCAATTAAAAAGCTAACCTTTCGGTTATTTATTATTTCAAATTAAATTTTGATACATTAGTTTTTATGGTGTATCATATATCATATTATGGTATTTCAATTTCATAATTAATAGGAAATTTATATTAATTTTGATAATTTTTTATGACTATGTGCGCGCTAGGGCGGGATGCATTCTTTGCCATGTTTGCAAAAAATTATATTGTGCAAGCGCAATATTGTCAATTTACACATTAAATTAAAACAATGGACAATCAAGGGCAAATGAGCCAAAGGTAAGTTATTGGTAGCCAAAAACAATTCTATTTTAAATCAGATCCAGACGTTTCGGCTTCAATTACCATATTCATTGGATCAATATACAAATTATAGTCAATTAATAAAACATAGAGACATAGAATTTCATTAAATTTCGCAACAGTAGAGACTTAAAAACTATTCGGCATGCTTCGCTATTATAAAATTTTTTTAAAATGTTTATTTCTTTGATATATTTACGTTGACTTTCTGATGTCAGTCTTGTATCCCCGTGGAAGTCCCTTGTAGAATTCACGGGATTGTGCGGTTATTAATGTCTTATACATGTCAATGTTGTCCAAATAAGAGTCATGTGGAAGAGAGTGAGATTCTGTGCTGTCATTGTGAACGGAAAGCCTATATAACGTCATTGTCTGCCTAGTTAGAAAGTCAAAGACACAATGTTGATTGACTATAATTTGTATATAGATCCAATGAATATGGCTTAATTAAAGCCGAAACGTCTGGATCCGATTTAAAATAAAATTGTTTTTGGCTACCAATAACTTGCCTTTGGCTCATTTGTCCTTGATTGTCCATTGTTTTAATTTAATTTATTGAGCCTAAATCGTTATTTTAATTTATTTACACATTAAAATTCAATAACCAGAATTCTAAAATATTATGTCCATGCATAGTGATACTCCAGAAATTATAGAATTTTGAGAGAAAACGTATTAATGAAACGAAGCTGTGAACCGCCGGAAATGAAATAATTCATTTCCCGATATTCCTTGATTTCCGGTTTGCAACGAAGTAGCCTGTCGGCTGCCATCATCGATACGATATTTCAGAAGTGACTGATGCTACAACGTTTATTAAAAGCGAGTAATGCCAAGATACATTTTCATTTATTTGTATTATTTTCGGCATTAATTACGATATTTTCTCGCCTAAGAACATAAAAATCAAAAATGAAAAGTTGCAAATTTATATTTACTTTTAGTTTCAATTTCAATAAAATAAATTCAGCTTTAATTGCTCTTGTTTGAGCTTGTTTAAATATTTTAGTTTCAATTCTTAGCTTAAGTTATGTTTATTTTTAGAATTAAAATTTTATATTATATTATATATAAATATTTATATATATGATAAAAATTTTTTATCAATGCAGTCCAATATGTGAATTATACGCCAGTAAAATCGCGTAAGAAATAACAATTGATCTCATTAGACTAATTTCGCTTACACGTTTTCTCTCTCTCTCTCTCTCTCTCTCTCTCGTTTCTTTGACCAGTGATACAATTATTATTGTCAGAGCGCAGAACGCAGTATTGTCGCGAATACGCAATGATTTTACGCGCTTTAATTCACCTCCATCTTACTCGTGGCGACAAATCGCTCGGAACGAATCGAAAGCCTATTGGAAAGCCACATTAGCACGTTGCACGATTTAAAGTATGTTTGGAGAACGCACTATCAGCGTTGTGTTGCGTTATTCTGTCCTTATTTTACGTTCAATAAACGATAAATTAAAGTGACACAATAGCACGCTCCCCGAATGCAGCCTCAGTCTAATCTCCGCCAAATTTTTACTCTTTTTTTCGAGAACCATTAGTAGGTTTCACAACGAACAGCTATTGTCAGTTTAGAATATCGATCGTATATCGAATGCCCGTGCTTGTCGGCCAATCGCGGCACTCTCGCGACATGATGATGATTCGAATGCTATCATTAATCCTAAAGAGGTCCGATCGGCGATTAAAATATTCGACATCATTATTCTTCAAGCCGCTTAAGGAGAAAAAAGAAATCCGATTTCAACGTGAAAAAGAGGGATGCTTTGTCCATGAGAAAACATACGACTGTAAAGTGAAAATTCGTGAAAATGGAGATTATGGCATGGATTGTCAGAAAGAATTGAAAGACAATACTCTTGTATCTTTCTATTGTACTTAAAATAATTATTAATTTCACAATGATACACACATGATTTATATATGAAAAGAATGGATGACAGTTCGAGGAAACATTTAGTTAGGTTGACCATATTGTATTGTTTGTATTATGTTAACAATATTTCTTTTACTTATTAATTTATTTACTTTAAGAGATTTTTTACCTGGTGAAAAATTTATGTATGGCGGGTAAATCATCATGTTGACGATTTAATTATAACACCTTATTAATTCGAAATTTTCTCTCTCTCTCTCTCTCTCTTCCTGCTTTTCTCACTTAATTCAATTTTTAACACTGACTATCTATCCACAAAAGAACCAAGGCACAACACGATCTAAAATGTACTGCGCGCAGGATGTAGCAACGACGGATCTGTCTGATCTCATGTCTCGTTAACAGTAATCGAGGAAAGCGTTTTGCTCTCCGTCTTTCCTTTACTCACATCTCTCTTTCTCCCTCTCTTCTAGAGGATTCGAGTGATAGCCTGGCTTATGATTATTTCCGCGGATTATGTCGCACCCTCTTTTCAATAATAACATAGCCCATATCATTGCCAAGTGTCAACTTTCAAGAGTTGAGAATTAGTGCCATGAGACTGACTCTTTGATCAATATTCGTAAAATTCACGTATTTACGCAAACGCAAACGTACGAAGCTATAAAAGCCTACTCTACAATAGCCGTATGCCGTAAAAATTGACCTGTTATAGTTGATCATTCTCCTCACATTGGACTACGATTGGTCAATTTTTACGGCTTACAACTATTGTAAAGTATTATAGGCTTAAAGATTTCTCGATTTTTGATGCATGTTGTTTGTCATGAAATGGCCTTTTGAATGGCGTATTGAATAACAAAGATTGTCGCAAAGTCAAAGCAGATAATGTTGTAACGTAATTAAAGTCAAGTTACGTCGATACCATTATGTACTTTTACATCGTGCTCTCGATCGTGATGATTTCTCGCACGTGCCGCGTTTGTAATCGTGCATGATGAGACACGTGTTCACCTTCGTTCCCCTTTTATACCAGTTATTACCAGTTCAAGGTAAAAGATAAAGCAAAGAACTCTAACAATTGGATAATTCAATTAAATGATTAATATCGAAATCAATATAAGCGGTTATTATAATAATTAAAAATATCTTTTTTGCGGTTATATAATAACAAGTACGATAATTACCGCTGTAACGTAATCAGATACATTTTTATTGTATATATATATATATACATATATATATATATATACATATTTATTAAAATAACATTAAAAAGATTTTTGAAATATATATGCATATATATTTTTTACATAAGGATATTTTCTTTTTTCTTTATTTTATTATATAGGTTAATAAATTATATATATGAAACACATTTAAAGTATCTGTTATTTGTAAAAATATTAATACAAAAATATTTTTAGAGATAAAAGAAATTGAATTTTATTCTTTCTCTCTTAATAAAATTGTCTATTATTATTTTATTTTTCAGCAACCAACCTTACGAAGCATTTTTAGTAACGTTAATATCATTTAATATTGTTTATTTAACAACACGGAGTCATGCTCGATAACAGACGAATTCTACGCGTGGCTTTTATATTCTTTCATTTATACATTTTATATTTACATCTTTTATTATTTTTACGATTACACATTAAAAATTACATTAATAATAAAAAATTATTTGATATTTTAATAGAAATTATTTATTAAAAATTTATTTTGTTTTTTAATTTTACAAAATTAGATAATTTATTCTAGGTGGCGGTATGTATATGTACATGTAGATATACAGTTTCTCGAGGTTTCGAAAATTAGTATGCTAGTATAAAGTGATTAATATATTGCATCAAGTACCATATTACCACGTACGATGGAACAGCCCTCCTCGCTTCCGTTTCACATTGTCATCCGAAATTCCGCAGTATCAATTCCTTTAAAACGCGCATCAGCAAGATCCTTGTATGCAACAATTTGTTGTATAACAATTCTCCTTGGTAAACATCTGGAACATTAAACGCAAACACAAACGACCGAGGTCTATCCGTGCACTCGCGATAATATTGAACGGATTTATTGCGTCTGAGAATTTCGGGCACACTGTGTATTTGTACGACAACGTCGATCGGTCCGAGAGATACCCGAGGAGATTCCGGGTACCTCGGGAATCACACTTCGCATTCGATCGCACATGGAACTTGGAGATTTCAGGGCCACTTTTCGTCGATACCGACACTGGATGGGAGATCCGCGTCCCTTCCACCTTGACTTGAGGAAACGTTCGCCTCGAGGATTCGGAGGTGTTTTACGAAGCACGAAGATCGCGCCTCACCGTCCCGCCTGTGTGTGGACACGCACGCGTGCGCGCGTACATCGCGTGAAACGATCGCGTATGTCACTCTGACGACCGGCGAGATCACGCACGCAGCATCGTCGCGTTCTCTAGGACCGCGCTCCGGCTCCGGAGGACTCGTGCCGCCGCGGCCGCTCTTTCCGCTCCGCTTTTCGGTGCTTATCGATCGACCGTCTCTCCGTCTCTCTCTCTCTCTGTACGGTCCTCTCGCGGTTCTTTCGCACACACCCTCGCGAGAGATGTCGTCTCGCTGCTCGTCCCCGGTGACAAGCCCGCCGTAGCCGAGTGATACAGCTTAACGTTAATCTTGACCCTTAAACGCCTCGCGTATATGAGGACACGAGGACTCGTCGATGAGACCTCGGTCGCATCCTCCGCGGGGTGTTGTTTCGTCTGGAATCTGGACCTCACAGCGAAACGGAGCGCCGCGCACTCTCTCTTTCTTCTTCCTCCTTTCTCTCTCTCTCTCCGCGCGCGCATGGACCACACGGGGAGATTACGACTCGCGTTCTCGCATTCTCGAGCCGTTGGGGTGAGATGGAAAGAGTAAAAGCGTGAGAAACAGGAAATAAGAGAAAGAGGAAAATATCGAGAAAAAGATACGGAGGGAAAGGTGGCGAATGATCGTCTCGCGATCGAAGACGTTAGCGGCGTCGTGAGGCCTACCTATTTCGGGGTGCCTCCCAGCATCCAGACACTTCAACATTCTCTCTCTCTCTCTCTCTCTCTCTCTCTCTCTCTCTCAGCGCCGTGACGTGCCGCACGCGTGGTCACTCGTGAGCTCGCGAGCGCCGGGCACGTCGATCGATCGAACACATTTTCATCCCCCTTGCAGCAAGGCTCCAAGAGCGCGCGTTCCTTGCTCGCGAGAGCGGTTGCTGCGCTACTCTCCGATAGCGAACCACGTTCAAGTTTGTCATAAGAGAAAAGTATTTTACCTTAGATATAGGCTGACATGCACAGATTTACTCGAGTTATCGAAAATGCCGAATATCTATCTATAAGTACAAGAAGGGGTGCGTTCGTACATAAGCACCTACATTACGCGCGCTGATCTCTGGACTCATGGTCACATTTGCACTGTTTCAGATAAATTTGGATATGCGAATACATAAATAAAATCACGATATCAATTACAGTCAAAATTAAACGCTACAACATCTCCGTTAAAAATTCTAAAACGCGCATGCACGATAACAGAAGAAAATGATTGTACATTTACGTCAGTGCAGATTTCTTAACGCGCACGTGTGAAGCCAAACAATTTCTTTTGACAGAATCTAAGGGTCGTGAGGCTTCCCCCAAGGAAAGTACCATCTTTGTCTCTTTTTATTAGATTGAATTTTTTAATATCGAGGGAGAGGGATGAAAATTGTTTGAGAGGCAGAGAATAGGTTGAGCAAAAAGAGAGCCTACAAAGAGAAAGAGACGCAAGGGAAGGAAATAGTTCTGTCTTGTGGTTCAGGAAAGAAGCAACTGGAATCCTCACTGTGGTTTCATGTGTGAAGTTTATTATAACATTTATTAAAATCGCGTCACGTACACTGTACGAAGTAATCGTATATAATTCGTTTGTCGTGTATGTATTCGCTTACTTTCGCGACAACGCCTAGGGGCTATGGTGCCCTGAGTCGCGAACACTTCGTCTATAGAGATTCCTCTCTTTCACGACAACGCCTAGGGGCTGTGGTGCCCTGAGTCGCGAACACTTTATTTAACAGAGGTTTTATACTTCTATACGGGTCGGTGTGAACCGCCTCAAAGCCGAACGCCTTGGATTGCGGCTAGATACGCGCACGTTGCGTCTTGGAGGCCAATTAACAGCGTATGAAGATCAATTCAAGAGCGCTCGACATGTATGGACTGACGGTCGAAGTGAAGTATTTTTGACGACCGTATCCGTATTTCCCCACTAATCGTCAATCCGTTTTCCATTGGTGCCTTTCGATAACGTGACCGTCGCGACGTGGCGGCGACGGTCCCCTTTGTTTGCACACGGATCTAATATTCTAGGAGCTGAAAATTCTTTGTTCGATACCACGGCGTCACGTTAGCCCCTTCTTTTATACCGCGGCGTCGCGTCGGTCTCCAAGACGCATGCATATGTTTATGCGACATGCGGATGTGGTTATTGTCCAAACCCGTCTTTCGCATTGTCGTGCACGACCTTTTAGGGCTCTACGCAACAAGTTCTGACCGGTAACCGTGAAGTAAGCTGGAGGCGAGGAGGATGATAAGAGGGGAATAAAAAGAAAAAACAAAAAGATGTATAAAAATCACACCGACATACTATCACATTGCAAGATAAAAAACATTTTAGTAAAAAGATTAACTATTATATATATACGAATATATATTTTATATTATAAAATTACATAAACGACAAATGTATAATTATACAATTTGTTTACATTTTCATTATAAATTGTGATTTTTACACATGCTGCTTATGCAATTTTACACATTTTTTTGCAATGTATGCTGAAATAAAGCGCTGTGAAAAAAATAAAATTACATGAACAACAAGAGTAAAATCACATGAAATTTATGTATTTCTGTTATGAATTGCATGATTTGTACACTTGCTGTACATATAATTTTACCTACATTTTTTATTTTTAATGCATGCTAAAACAAAGCGCGTGGAGCCTAGAAATAATCTGCGCTATTTCTTTTTACGCGAAATACACGAGATTCGTTTTCACATTTGATAAAGTCTCGTGGCGCGCTCTGTTAAATTCGTATCGTTCTTTTGCATCGTCGAAGCAGCGCGGCGGCGTTCACCCGCGACTCCGTGCACGTTTATCATCCGTAACTCGTAATCACACGGTATGTAATAATTCCGTGTTGATATCCTGAGAAATTCCACTGAGGTATAAATAGTGGAGCTGCAGACTCTGTAGGCTCTCGGTGAAAGGAGTAAGGGTATATCATAGCGCTCTAGCGAGCTTATTCTTTTTTCGTTTCACAATCGTTGATCGTTATATAGAGTGTTATAAAATCACTGGACCTTTCAACTATATGCTATAAAAATATTGTAAAATTATGTGAACAAGTGCAAAAAGTCGTATAATTTGTAATATAAAACATACATTCCCGTTATATATTATGTGATTTTTATATTTATTCAATTTTACGCTTTTTTTATAGTAAATATTCCTTACTTGATATAAAGTCGATATTTCTTTCGAAAAAATATGTATGCAAATAAAGTGACATAACAACAATATTTAAAATTGATTTTTCATATTTCAAGTAGATCTCTCGCATTTTAACAAAGCTTCAGTTTAAGATCTATAAATGCGAAAATCTGATGTTGGAAATTAAAAAGTTGATAATAAACAATGATCTACCTCGAATTTTTCTCTGAATTGTTACGCCGGCCGTGAACGCTAATAAGCACATAACGAAGTAAAATTTATAGTAAAAAAAATATGCAATTAACATACACACTGCGCAAAAGACCAATAGACGAAAAATATTTTGATAATTGATGTTCGTGATATCTCGTTAAAGAGAGAGATGAGATAAAAAGATATTTCGGTATATTATTACATTCATGTATCATTATATGCACTTACATATAATTATGTCATTATCCAGTTAAATGCAATATTGGAAGCTATATCCTTATTGTGTTCCTTATGTTATCGTTTAATGATCTTTTGATTGATTTGACATTGATTTTAGAAGTGTGAAAGATTCTCGTTTTTCGCTATTTATTTTTAATGCTATATATGTTGATAATATAATAAGCATTAAATTTAAAATCTGTAAAGAAAGAATTTTGTAAAGTCTATTTTAAATGCATTAAAGAATGATTTTTTCATTTATTTGCAAACTGAGTTTATATAAAAAGATTCTTATTTTGAATTATTACTAATAAACTATAATTAATAAACTGTTGGCGCTTGAATATTTCGTAAAGTATTCCAAGTTTCCTTTTACGGATTATTGTGTCAATTTTATGTAGTAAGTCTTATTTGACATAGTTTGCTTTCCAAAATTTAAATTAGAAATATATAAGTGTACATAGATAATACAAATTGATAAATTTTGTCTAATTTGCAATTATAATTAGTGGAATTTATTAGTTATCCAAATTTCAAAATCTAAATCCGCAGTTCCCTGGAGAAACTTAATCTTACTTAATCTTTACTAGAAAATTGAGCTTCAATCTCAACTTCCTCGTGATTCCTTCCGCCTATATTTCCTCTAATAATCGGAAATATTCTCCGATCACTCTTGCGAAACAGTTTACATTTTGGAACGACTTGTAGTATACATGTTTTCGTCAGACGATTCGCACGAAACCAAAAGCGATCACGTTGACGTTTTTTCCTTTCTTTTTTTTCATTACGTCATGCTCGTCTCGTCGCAGTCTCTTTTCTTGCGTGCGTGTGTTTTTCTTATCTGGTTTTCCGCGCTCTATCTCATCTCTGGGAACGTTACGCCGCAACACTCGCACGCTCAATATGCTCAAAATGAGACGGAAATAAAAGCACATGTGGCTTCCACAAAGTTTGGCATGGTTTATCACTTGTAAACTCGAGCAAATATAATATTATAATTGACGTATATATACGTCAATTATAAATTTTATTAATATGTTTTTCATATTATCACATAATGTTTTATCATACTTTCGCGAAAAGTAAAATATTTTTTTTAAGGTAGATTTATTTGAAATGTCGAATTAAAATATCTCCAATAATTATTAATAGAGAATACAAATGCTTTTCGTTCTGTGTACAAATTATTATGTACTATACGCTAACGCATAACGTCGGAATTTTTCGAAAATGCGTAATGGTATGCCCTACAACCGTTTTCTCAGAAGAGATCCAAATAAACTTTCAGCGAATTCTCAGTCGAATAAATTATTGCAGCAAGCTAAGCAAGTTTATCGTTTTATCATTTGTAATATATATCATGATTTCGTCCTGCGCCGTGTTTGCCGCATCGGATCTCATTGCAGCCTCGATGAAACTGTAGACCTCTCTATCTCTTTCTTTCTCTCTCTTTGTCGAGGACAAATCCTTACTCACAACACCCAGTAGGTGGTCTTCTCGTTATCGATCTCTCCTTTCACCTTTCTCCCGTTGTTTTCTTTTCTCCCTTTGCACCTTCGTGCGACATAATGGATTTTTCCTCTCTTGGCGCGAGAAACGACGATTAAAGTCGTGAGTTTCTGAGTCACGTAGCGTTTTAAGCGGAAATATGTGTGTCAAGTACGTGTAATAACGGCGTGATGCAATCAATACCCTCTCTTTGGACAGGGTAAATTCTTGTATTTAAAATCATGATAGCGGTTCTGGCGATGCAAATAGCAAAACACGCCGCGATCCTCGGTCCGGTGGCGATTAATTATTTTCGCGATCCCGAAATGTTTTCCCGAAAAACAAGAAACGCCTCCGCACACCATTGATGCTTTGAAACAGTTCCACGTTATTTTGCAAAGAAATTATTGTTATTCGTTCGATACGTAAGTTTTTGTTACCGTTATGCGAAGAATTCAAAGAGATACGCTTATCCTCGAACATTTTATGATTAATCTTAAGTCTTACGAACGCAGTGAGAATAATATATTTTACAATCAATCTACGTCTTCACTTTTGAGAGGATTTTCTTTCGATACTCTATACACTGTTTTAAAATAATTTAATTATAATACTTTTTAAATACATTTGTCAAAGTAGATTTTTCTTTTTGAAATCTTCACGATAACAAATATTGACAAGACGAAATATGATCATCGCACAACTGAAGATACATCTGCTATGATGATACACCGTTATTTACAGACGTATTATCGAAAGGAATATTAAGGAAGAGGATTAGGCTTCATAAAATATTAACGCAGTGTTGTGTCTTTTCAATGTACCATAATATAATCTAAGGTGAACTGAAAGAGATTATATTATACACATGAATATAACATAATATATAATCTTTTTTACTTCTTTTATAATAAACATGACACATTACTTAGAATATCGCTTAAGATACTTAATACAATACTGTGCTATTTAAGACATTATCTCACAATACTTGCTACGAAAAAGACTGCAAAATAATTAAATTTTGTGATCCATGTATGTATGTTGCACTAAAAAAAAAGTGAAAAACATTTCCCAGTTGATTTTTTGTGTAGTTTGATTCATCTTAGGCGAACGTGTGAGAAAGGAACTATTTAATATTTAGGCATTCTATTTGACGAATAAGCATTTTGAAATTTAAAAAGTTTTATAACAACGGCGGTTACGATTACGTGTAAATAATCGACAATATCTTGAGCGTGCTCAAGAATGAAATTATCTATGAACGCAAAAAAATAAAATTGATATGCATTGCTATACAATGCAATATAGGCTGAGTAAATAAAAATAAACATGTAAAAAAAAAGAGCACAAAATCTAATAGAAAGAAAAGGAACCTTCACTTCGGTAATGCCTTAAATGTTCGTACAATTATTCACGCGTTGCTCAAATTTTGCCAGAAAAATAATGTGCAGCAAGTCCAGCGATAAGGATTTGTTAAAGGAGAGAATTAACAGCTCGCGCGTAATCACATATTATACCGCATGACTGTTGATATTTTCAATAATGATCAATAATCAGTTACAATTTTGTTATACAGCATTTTTCAGATCGCATCGATTTATATATCCGTACGAGATTCAAATGTTTTGGAGATTCGTTTCACTTCGATATTCGCGTCGAGCTCAATGTTTCTTAAATTTAATACTTTCTCTTCCCCCTCCCTTGTAGAAGTCAGATCTTATATAACTTTACTGTGGAATGTATACACCATAGATTAGAGATACAGCTTGCCAACGGTTATACAGAGTTTGAGCGAAAGCTAATAAGAAGTGGGATAATGCGCGTTTAAAGAACTATGATCTCCCTCTTTTTCTCTCTTGTGGAATGTACGTTTGATTGGTCATTGGCTCTCGTTAATGCGCCCACCTCCCCCCTTCCTAGCTCCTCTACTTCTCTGCTCTCCTACTTGCAACACGCAACTCGTCACGATCTCTCATTTACTAGTAAAACGCGCATATAAATACAACGTTATCGTTTTCAATACATACAAATACACATGACCCTCTCATTGCCTTTTTATATATATATATATTCAATATACATATCGAGAAAAACGGAACTCGTGGTTGCACATCACATTACTAAGAGCACTTAAACCACGCAACACTTTAACTGCGTTATAAAAATACGCAATATTATTACAATAAAATAATTATTCGTAGTTCTTAGTTAATTAACTGCGTTTACTTGACAAAAAAGTTCGTTATAGTGCCTTGCACGTTATCACAGTGTACGATAGTTCCCTTCCTTGCACTGCCTATAGAATTTCCACGAGAATGCGGCAATTGCCATCAAACAGGTAGTAAGGATAATGCCACCTGCAACAACAAAAAATCATTTGATATCTAACAAATATTTGCATTAATAAATTAAGCACAATAAAAAATTTAGAATAAAAAAATTATCTAAAAAAGTTTTTTAATATTTAATATATTTGTAATGTGATTCTAATTATTTTAATAAAATTTCTATAAAAGCTTTACTTTATTGAAGATGTCGTCATTCAATCTATAGAAATAACTAGCAGAATAACATCTCTTACGTACCAAAGAAGCTTAGACCATCAAATTGGCGGTCCTTAGAAGGTGGAGCTGGTGGTACAGCAGTTGTCCCTGATGCAGCCGTGCTAGTGGATATAGTTGTAGATGTAGATGTAGATGTTTGGGTGGTTGTTTTCGGTGGTTTAGATGTAGTAGTTGATGGTGCAGCAGTAGTAGTAATAGGAGTAGTAGTAGGAATAATAGTAGTAGCATTAGGTGCAGGAGTAGGAGTAGTAGAAGGAGTAATAGTTGTAGTAGTGTTAATTGTGGTCTGAGTTGTAGAAGTGGTTTCAGTTGTAGGTACGTTAGTGTGGTGATTTGATGACACAGCAGTTGTGATAGATGACGAATCAGCGTTTGACAACTTCGATGAAAAATTTGACTGTCTTGCGGTCGTGTCCTGTGCACCTAAATGTAGAACCAAAATATTATTTTTTAACAAATAAATATTCTATATATTACAACTATATGTTGTAAACTCAAAATTATTTTTCCCAATTTTCAATAAAATAAAAAAATCTAAAGCTTAATTTTTTTATCTTAATTTATAAGGAGTTAATATTTTCTTACATCATGCACATATATCAATCATAAACATTAAATAAAATAAATTATTTAAAATATTTCTTAAATAAAATATTTGCATTTGAAAGTACAAAGCAAAATAAAATTTGCATCAGATTTTATTTTAAAATGATATTAAAATTTCTTCACATGTTCTTTTGTGATTTTAAGTAATTTCGGCTGAATTTTTTCCGTTTTTTAAATAATCTTGATCATCGATTTGCGTCTCTGTCGCACATCAAAATACAAATATGTATCAAGATACAATACGCGCGCAATATACATATTTTTCTCCGTAATGAGTTTCCAACTCTATCGCAGTATCATACAGGTTTATTGGCAACCGCGAAAATATTGCTGGCGACAATGAATCATTAGACTAATATTTCATTATCTTAAATTATGACAAGTTTTTAAAGTGTAATAATTTTGCTGCAAGACAAAATTCATAGACTCGATAAGTTTTCTATTTTGTAATCAATCAATACACTTGAAAAATTTGTTGTACGATAAATGAAATACCTAGCTTAAGCCGTCGCGCGTCTGATTATTATCGTTCTAATGTAGCTGAGATTTGATTGAGTCGGTGGTAGGTAGTCGGCGAAAAATCAATAGCAATCTGCTCAAGAGACCGCCGCCGTTACTTAACGAAGATCGAACGCGCGTAAGAGACGTGTACTGGACATAGACTAACACTAGGCCGTTGTAACGGATCGATGTTTTCTCAGTTTTATATTTTCATAAACTTTTGTGAAACGAAAAGGATATTCTTACAAGTAGTGAGAGCAGAATGGGAAAAGTGCGAGCTGACGAATGAATTGCATGAATATTGCTCCTGAAGAAATTTGGCCCAATGCCGTTATCAGTAATTCGAAGCGGGTAGGCGTCGCACGGCGACGCGGAATCCGGCCAACCTGACTACCAGTTCGCTATCGCGTGTTTAGCGTGTTTAACCCTGTTATTGCCTGTTATTACGCACCATATGAATGGCGCACTTCGCATGGCTACCGCCAATATATCGAAACTCAATCAACTCACCGTTGTCGGCTAGCACCAACGTGCCAATCGTCACACCTAGTAACGTGCAAATCACGTAAACTGATTTCATCTTGGTATCAGAAATCGGATTACGAACAGACGATGAAGAACGACAACACGACGTTCGCTGCCACCGAATCACACTGATCGCCGTGAACTGCCGTGAAACTCGTGAACGCGGAACGGCGTGAATCGCAACGACCTCCTGCTCCTGCAGCGATCGTCTTGTACGACGTGGACGGTGGAGATGGCGACGGTGACGGCCAGTTGCCAAGATCACGGCTCAAATATCCCTAGACAAGTAATTGTACAATTTAACCTCGATAACTCGAATCTCAAGGGAAGAGCTAAATCCTTCGAGTCATACGAGTTTTCGACTTATCGAAATTCGAGTGAAAGAGGGTTAACATATGAAAATTCGACTACGGAGGCTTCTTACGTTACGTCTTACGATTACGGTTAGAGAAATTAATGTGCGGAGCTCTAAGTGGAGATAAAAAAATATATCACATTTACCATTGTGAAATGTTTTTGTATTATTTCTTTTATGTTGGCGTTTTTATATTATATGAAGTTTGTTCGTGTTGTGCTTTTTACACTTACAATCTTCGCTTTCTCTTTCTTCAACGCCTGAATGTATGTATATTTATTGTAAAAAAAAAATATATATATATATATAATATAAATAACTAATGTCCATTTCTTATACGATTAATGTAGACCAACATCAATTTCGGTTGATTCTACTTTCCAAGTATTAGAAAAAAATAAAGAATATTAATTTAAACTTTAAATTGAATTTAAAGTTAATCTACATTGGTAGAGAAATACGGTAGTTAAGTGTTTTTCACGCACATATGTGTCATGTTTTATGTTCACGTGGTAGACTCTCAGGCAGTGATGTGCATATAGTGTACATACATGTATATGACAAGTAACAATGTCGGTTTGAATTCATTTTTATCTCTATCTGTCATATGCAAAATTGGCGGAATGAGCTTTGTCTTATGTATAATTAGTATATGGAAGTTTGTAGCAGCAACATTTATTTTAACATCCTATCTTTATCCTTCTTGCTTATTGTACTTAATAATTATCTTGTTAGTAATAAACCAATTTTTACACATATGTAATAAAATGATTATTATTAAGATAAAATTATTAATTACAAGATTTTAAGTTAAAATATATATATATATGTACATCAAAAGACTTTTATTGGCGTGCATTCATATTAGAAGCGCAAAAACAGAACGTGGAAAAACAATTAAAACTACAGCTTTCTGATTTTCTGTAGTGTTGATTTACATAACATTTTTGTAATCTAACGTAATTTTATTAATGATTAGTTTGAAATGAATTTTTTAAAAAAACTTTCGGAAGATTTGAATATATTGTAATATAAAGATTATCAGTGCAACTTCTGAATTTTAAGAAATTTCGTTTTTCCGCTTTTAAAATGAAGAAAACATTCACCCTTAGCAGTCGCAACATTAGCAAACGTGACATAGCCAATCAAGTTCGTGACTTTGACTTTTCCAAATATACATCTCTTTGTCTACAAATGATTTCTCATATATATTTTTAATAGTTTTTTTCTGATTGAGTATACCTTTTGAAACTTGAATACGAACGGATGAAGTAAAATCTTTATAGTGATTTGAAAATATAAAAACAAAACAATTTTCGTAAAAAATTTTTCTGTAATATTTAAAATTTATTTGAACGAATTTAAATTATGACTTTATATCAATCTTTCCGCCATTTATCTGAAAAATATTTTTTAAATTTTATTGAAACTAAAGAATTTCGTGATCTGCTTGAAAGACATCTTTCAAGTTTTATAAAAAGGTAAAATAAACGATCCTCTTTGTGTACAAAATTCAGAATATAATAAAATTTTTCCACGATGTTTCGAGATTTCCGAATGATAGTTCCAGAACAAGTTTCCTGCAACCCTATCAATTATGTTTCCGATTTGCTCGACTACCCCTGCTTTTGTTGATGGTTACAAGAAGGTGGTGCCCCCTAGGATCGTCGGAGGGCGGAGAAAACCGGGGACGGGGACCGCAACGGTCGGGAACGGGAATGCCGATGATGCGCGTTCAGGCGCTCATGGCCCACGGGTTCAGTGCTGGTGCTCGATGCGAGGCGAGTGCGCGCGACGGTGCAGTACGAGTGCTTGCGCTCGTACGGGCCTGTTTTCGTTGATTATCGAAGAGCGTTCTGGTCACCGTCGTGCATAATCGTGATACGATTTAGGGGTTGATTTTGTGTCGCAGTGAAAAAACAGGATACGCGCGCTCCGATATTTCGCAGAATCGGGTACCCGATACAAGGATTGGAAAAAGTAGTATATTATTTGTGACTCGCGAACAAGAAGAGAATATCTTTATTTGTGAAGCCGCGGAACGACGGCCAATCTACACGGGGGAGGTGACGAGGGCTCGCGGAAGTGCGGGTGAACGGTGCAGCGTTCCGGGGTGGCAGCAGCGGGGTGGCTCGCGGTGGTGACCAGCCCGCGGATAAAGGGCGAGGGAAATGGGCCGCTCCGCGTTTGATACGTGATACGAGGTGCGTGAGCGCGCGCGCGCGCTCTCTCTCTCTCCCCCTTCTGTGGAGCAGCCCCGCGCGTGTGTATGTGGCGTGCATGCGTGTGTCGTCGTCGGCCTCCTCGTCCTCCCCGTTATCGTCGTCGTCGCCGTCGTGTCGAGCCGTGAGTCTGTGTACCATCCGAATACGCGTGTGCGTTGCGTGAATGAAAAAGGAAGAAGGGGGAGGGCCGCTCGTTACCCCAAGATTGCCGAAGCGAGCGTCGTCGTGGTGGTCGGCGTCGCCGTTGCCGTCGTCGTCGCCGCCGTTGCCCCGACGCGCGACTCGACGTTGACATCGAGAGCAAAAGGGGTAGGCTGCTCTTTGTAGAAATGCGGCGCGATATGACGACGATGAGAGGTGGTATCGTCGCGACGACGACGGCAACGGCGGCGATGAGGATGTCGTTGACAACATCGTTGATGACATTATTGTGGACAACATCATCGACACTATTCTCGACCACATTGTCACCGAAGTCGACGTCAACGTCAACAGCGACAACATTGAATGCGGTCGCCCCATTCCGTCGCCTACTCGCGGCGACGCTATTGCTGTTGTTGCTAGTGTCGATGCACCCTGGCCCGGCCGCGGCCGCCTGCCGGTGGACCAGCGAGGCTGGCAACGACACCCGTTCAGCGGACTGCGCCCTTCGCGTGCTAGACCCTACGGCGATCGTCACTCTGGCGCCGTCCCTCGATGGCGCACTCAAACTACGGATTCGCTGTAGCGATGTGCATCACTTCGAAAGCATCTTGAACGCGCAGAGTTGGCAGCGGCTGGCCGGTCTACACGAACTGTACGTGCACGGCTGTAAGGTGCTACGTATCCCGGAGGATGCGTTTCTGCCATTGCCGGATCTCAAGCGGCTTGTTGTACAGACGTTCAATGCTGCTTGGGGTGCCGCCAGATACCTGGAGTTCGCGCCGAGTTCGCTTCGAGGTCTCCGCGAGCTTCACACTTTAGAGATCGTCGAGAGCAACGTGCTGGCGTTGCCGCCCAAACTGCTTTGCGAGTTGGACAATTTGCAGACTCTCAATCTCACCGGTAATCGTATCCGTGACGTCGACGACATCGGTCTAACTATCCGCGCCAACAATGACGGATCCTGTCGTGCCGATATCCGGATTCTGGATCTATCGCGCAATGAATTACGGCGACTGTTCGATGACGGACCGCTGGTGGGCCTGCGGCAGTTGCAAGAGCTACATCTGCAGCGCAATACGATTACCGAGATCGACAAGAATGCCCTGCACGGACTCACCGTGCTGCGTACATTTAATGCCAGTCACAATGCCCTGGACTCACTGCCCGAGGACTTGTTCAAAACTACACGCGACCTACGGGAGATACACCTGGCGCACAACGGCCTACGTGATCTGCCGCGGGGTGTGTTCACCCAACTGGAGCAGCTGCTGGTGCTGAATCTCGCCAACAACCGTCTTGGCAGTGATCGCGTCGATGAAACTACTTTTCTCGGTCTGATTCGTTTGATCGTGCTCGACCTCTCATACAATCAACTAACGCATATCGACGCCCGTATGTTTAAGGACCTGTTCTTTCTGCAGATCCTCGACCTACGCAATAACTCGATTGATCGTATCGAGAGCAATGCTTTTCTGCCACTCTACAACCTTCATACACTCGAGCTTTCCGACAACAAGCTCCATACTATAGGAGCACAACTCTTTAATGGTCTGTTTGTGCTAAATCGCCTAACCATGTCCGGGAATTCGATTTCGAGTATCGACACGATGGCGTTTCGCAATTGTTCTGATCTCAAGGAATTAGATCTCAGCGGTAACGAGCTCACCGCCGTGCCGGACGCATTACGCGACCTCGCCTTCCTCAAGACCCTTGACCTGGGCGAGAACCGGATTAGCGAGTTTCACAACGGTTCCTTCCGCAACCTTCATCAACTCACCGGTTTACGTCTAATCGGCAATGACATCGGCAATTTGACTCATGGTATGCTCTGGGACCTGCCGAATCTCCAAATCCTCAATCTGGCCAGGAACAAAGTGCAACATGTGGAAAGGCACGCGTTCGAACGTAATATCAAATTGGAAGCCATTCGCTTGGATGGCAACTTTCTGTCAGACATCAACGGAGTATTTACGAGCATCACTAGTCTCCTGCTACTGAATTTATCGGAAAATCACATAGAATGGTTTGATTATGCCTTTATACCTGTTAATCTTAAATGGCTCGACATCCACGGCAATTTTATCGAAAGTCTCGGTAACTACTACAAAATTCGTGATTCTAAGGTGAAGACTTTAGACGCCAGTCACAATCGTATCACTGAGCTCTCGCCGTTATCTGTGCCAGATAGTGTGGAGTTATTGTTCATCAACAATAATTACATCAACACCGTGCGACCGAACACGTTCGCCAACAAAGTGAATCTTACCCGGGTTGACATGTATGCGAACATGATCGAGACGATGGAGTTGACATCACTGCTGCTGACCAAGGTGCCGGAGAACAAACCACTGCCAGAATTCTACATCGGTGGCAACCCTTTCAACTGCAACTGTTCGATGGATTGGCTGCCGGCCATCAATAACCAAACCTCAACAAGGGAATATCCACGTGTCATGGATCTGGACAATGCCATGTGCCGTACCTCCGGGCCACGAGGAATCGCCATCATCCCGGCTTCGACCGCACGCTCGGAACAGTTCCTCTGCCGCTATGAGGCGCATTGTTTTGCCCTCTGTCACTGTTGCGATTTTGACGCTTGTGATTGTGAGATGACCTGTCCAGCTGGCTGCAAGTGTTATAATGACCGTACTTGGAACACAAATGCAGTCGATTGTTCAGGTCTCGGGGTCGAGGAAATTCCGCGCAGGATACCGATGGATGCCACCGAAGTCTACCTGGATGGCAACGTGTTGCGAGAGTTGCAGAATCACGTTTTCATCGGCCGTAAGAACATGCGCGTGCTATACGTGAACGCTAGTGGCATTGAATCCATCCAGAATCGCACCTTTAACGGTCTCAACAACTTGCAAATTCTACATCTCGAAGACAATCGGATACGTGAGCTCAAAGGTTTCGAGTTCGAGCGATTATCGCACTTGCGCGAGCTCTATCTGCAGAACAATATGATCGGCTTCATCGGCAACCTTACGTTCTTGCCGTTGCGATCACTCGAGATTCTTAGATTACACGGCAATCGGCTGGTAACTTTTCCAGTGTGGCAAGTCACTTTGAACGCTCGGTTGGTTGAATTATCGCTCGGCGGCAATCCTTGGTCGTGCCGCTGCAAGTTCCTCCAGGAGCTGTCTTCTTGGGTATCAGACAATATGCACAAAGTTATTGACAAGGATGATGTATGGTGTTACTACAACGGCGACGCCAGACCGTCTTATCGGCGTCATTTGAATGTCAACGAGACCGCCTGCTCGGACTACTTCGCTCAAGGTGGCGTCATCGAGAGTATCATGGTATCGGATTATTTGCCATTAGTAGCTGCCACTCTCTCGGCCATTATCGTTCTGCTAGTTATCATCGTACTCGCATTCGTGTTCCGCGAACCGGTCGGCGCCTGGGCCTATTCCAAGTACGGACTACGATTTTTACGTACGAAATCGGGCAAGGCCGTGACGACAGCAAGCATGGGTCCCGCGGCTGCGATAACTGCGGGCTGCTGCGATGCCGATCGCGATCGTCTCTACGATTGTTACGTGTGCTATAGTCCGAACGACGAGGACTTTGTTTTGCATTCGTTGGCAGTTGAACTAGAACACGGCGCGGCTGGTCTGAGACTCTGCCTCCATCATCGAGATTTGCCTTGCGTGTTGCGTGCCTCTGCGCCCGCACCAGCCGTCCTCGAGGCAGTAGACGCGTCTCGGCGCGTGTTAATTGTGCTTACTCGTGATTTTCTTCAAACTGAGTGGTCGCGCTTCGAGTTCCGCGCGGCGCTGCACGAAGCATTGCGCGGTCGTGCCTCTCAGCTGATCGTCATCCAAGCTGGCCACATTGGCACCGAGATCGAACGCGATCCTGAGCTGCGGCCCTATCTGAGAACAGCGGCGCTCATCCTCACGTGGGGCGAGAAGAGGTTCTGGGAACGGTTAAGGTATGCCATACCGTCGTCCACGACGACTGCAATCATCACTACTAGCACCACCACCACCACTACCGCTGTCGGTGACATATCCATCGAGAGCAAATCTTCACCGTTGGTGTACAAACGCAACATCAACACCTACACACTGGACGGCGGTGTCGGTGGTGTTGGTAGTCTCGAGAAAACCGGGATGTCGACGCTGCGTGGTGGTCAACGTGCCGCACTCTTCAAGGACGCCTCGTCGGCGCTGATGCTGCAACACGCGCCGCCCGCCTACTCATGCGGCGGTGCCCCGCTCCCCCCCATGTTGCCGCAGCAACAGCAACAACAGCAGCCGCCGCCACCGTCGTCGTCGCCGGCGCAGCCCAGGTTAACCGTCAATCACGCCTACCGGGACGCGGTGCCAGCTAGTAATCTCGTCACAACCACCGTCGCCACTACTAACACCGCCAACTGCGGCATTGGCGAGGACCACAGGAGACCGCTATCCGAGCACATCTACTCGTCCATCGACTCGGATTACTCCACCCTTGAGAGGACCGCCTGGAGGCAGCAGCAACCACCGCCACCGCCGCCCCCACCCACCTCTGGACAGGCCTACCTAGTTTAGCTCCCTGTGACCGACCCTGGTATCCCCACGTGGGATACATGGGACTACGATATCGTCGACTCGACTGCAATAGTGACGAACGACGGTAGTACCTCATTCCCAAAAGGTTGTGCTGGATCTCGTCCACGTGATGTACGATCGGTAGTTTCGACAGACTGTGGATTCTTGAAAACGTTACGTGTTTGCCGAATCACAGACCTCTGCGAGATACGTGTACATAGTTCAGGGAGATCGTCGCGAAAGATGAGGGACGGAATGTTTGCATATAATTATAATTATCTCTGGAGACTTTAGGGATGTCTATCGCGATAATAATTGCCAATTTTCTTTATTACTTAACGAAAATTTCGATTTTTTTCTATCACTGGAACATTATCAATGTTTTTTCCCGTCTTGTTTTTATCTCTACTTTTTTTATTTTGTTTTAGTATTATTTTTGTCTTCATTTTTCTTGATTTTGTACACGGAGAGAATTTTATTTTAAAATTTACTGAAAATTATGTTAATCGTAGGACAACATAGTATTTCGACGAATTTTATGATTTTCACTATTTTTTAAAATATATATTATAACAAATTTATTGCAGTGCACAGTAAAATTTGTCGAAATACTATGTTGTCTCATGATTAACAAAATTTTCAGGGTAAATTTTAAAAAGAAATTCTCTCCGTGCTTGATGTAATAAGGTTATGAGCACAATCGAGAAAATATTAGGAACAGGAATAAATATAAGAATTTTAACTTATCAGAAAAAGTGTATTCCACAGTATACGGTTTCTGGTAGATTGAAATTCTTATAATTATTCCTTTTCTTAGTATTTCTTGTATTGTGCTCACGACCTACCTTCTTACCAGAATAGTGCGTGTGTTCACTCTTGATATAAATCTCTTATAGTAGCATCTTACGAGAATACGTTTTATTCGGGTATACAAAGGTCTCGGATGCTATTATATGTAAAATTGATTTTTCTCCTTAACAAAATATAAATAAAACTTTAATAATTTTTTCAGTTGCATTTTCACAACTATTCGCTATTTCTGAACACGCAAGTTAAGTTTTAAAAGCGCAAGATAAAAAAATATTTAATTTTCCATTTGGTTTGACTTTACGAACCATCTCTTTATCTTATTTTCAATTCAAGGAAAATTTTTTCGATCTTACTTTAATAAGGATTAAATATCAGAAATAGCTTGTAATCTCTCTAAATATTCTCGACTCGAAATTCATGTGAGAATCAACCATTATTTAAATTAAAGATCCGAGACTTTCTGTGCACCTTTGTGAACAGTGTAAATCCCATTTATCTCAGATGTTTTTTAGCTCCCAAAGATCTCAAAGTTCGCGCGATAACGCGCGGATCATCAGGCCATCCCTTTCGCGGCGGTAATTTCACCCTCGTGTAAATACTTCCTACTTACGACGAATTCGTGTAAATAACGCTCTCTTTTACGCAATATGCGTTCGTGTACGTATGTACATTGTACATATACATACATGTAACTGACACATGTCGCATTTCGACGTCCTCGCCGCGCAATAGAATCACGATGCTAGCTTTGACTCTGAAATTTTCGACTAGGTAGATGATTTTTTGTAATTTTATATGTCCGCAGGAGAGAAAGAATAAGGGAGAGTGAGTGAGTGAGTGACTGAATAAGAGAAAAAAGAGAGAAGGATTGGGAAAGATGATTGTATGATATGTAAATATGTATATTGAGTATACACTCTTTATCGCCGCGCCTCGTGTAAGATACAGTTCGCCGCGTTAAAGAGAAGGTAAGAATCGAAGAGTGAGAGAAATAAAAGCGTGAGACATGTGCCCGCGTGATCCGGCGAGGAGCAAGCCGTACGAGCGTCTGCGCATGTAACGTGAGACTTAACTGTATACTTTTGATTTATTTAAATCATGTGAATAAATTTATAAAATATGTTACTACTTATCTTCGCTATATACGCCTTGATATCTTGATTCTGGTAGCGATTATCGTCGAGCCTATTTCGAAGATTCCGTAATTCACCGTGGAATTCATTTGGAAATAGAAATTCTATAATTACAATTTAATATGTCGTAACGTAGAAAATTATACACAATGATGTAAAAATATTTATATCTATTCCATAAAGTGGATCCTATAAGCAGAGTATGCGCGCAAGATACATATGGTAGATTGATAAATTTATAATGTACAATTTCAGACGTTAATATTGCTTGCCACGGCACTAATCGAGAATTTCTCATTAATGATGGGATAACATTAAATATTTATTATTAATTAGAAAATGATGACACGCTTGAAAACGAAATAATAGTGACAAAACGGCCTAATTGCGTATTCGCTGATATACATACGTAGTAAATATGAGATTATACGTAACACTATACGTAATACTTTTTCCCCCTTCTGTTCATGATGTATTTACAACTCGACACATGAGATTAGACTCTTCCGTTTCGAATTATAGAATTCTCGAGATGGGCTTTTCTCGAGAACTGCATGCCGAAATTATATAAGTACAATTCCATAAGCAGCGCGAGCTTACGCGAGGAGCACGTGTTTTCTCGAATACGAGGAAGGGGAATCTTTTTCTTTCCTTTGGTGGCGCAAGTTGGAGGAGTCGTTTTTTCCCCGCGAACCAAGTTGCGGCGAAATTCGGATCGATCGAGAGAAAGAGAGACAGAGAAAGGGAACTTATTTCCATATGGTAATTTCGCGCTACGATTGGTTAAAATATTCGCGCAAATGCATTATCCGAGCGTGTGGGAGAGGTAGAGGGAGCGGGAGAGCGAGCGAGCGGGGTGCAACCGTGTTGTTTCCCACACACAGCCTCGGCTTTCTCTCTTCTCTCTCTCTCTCTCTCTCTCTTTGTTGTTACCTATATATCGCGGCGCGCGGCCGTGTGCTGACTATATAGACCGCGAACGGAACATTGATCCTAGTCAGCGGCGCCGCGCACTCACTGCACACCATCTGCACACTTACATTATTAATGCGCCTACGACCGCCACCGCACCGCGGCCCTCACCCGCGCGGAGACGACGTATGTTTCTGTTGTTTGCGAAATCTTTCCGCGACCAAGTGTAAATACCGGGAATATCGCGCGCGCGTGGCGTTTAAGCGCCGTGCAGCGATTCGCGATTCCGCAATCTCGTTCGAATCTCACTGAATTTTAAGCGGGACGTTTTTTTTTTAATCCAAAGTATTCTCCTTGCGGATCCCCGCGAAACGGATTTATCGTGGGGTCGACGTTCTCCTGACGAAGCTCGCCACGAGAGAGCTTAATATCGAAAAGATGATTAATATCGTGAATTAAGTTTGACGCGTCTCATTCTTTAACCAATTTCAATTTGAGTTTACTTCAATTGTACTTCGACTTCGTATCTACTTTTGAAAGCTTCTTTAGACATTGGCGATTATTAATAAATAATAAATACAGGGCTAACTAATCTTTTAATTCAATGTAATTACTCTAAAACGTTTAAAAGTTAAAAAACCATTTCCCTGAATCCTATAATCAAAAGAAAAAATTATCTGAGCAGTGATTGGTGAACGGTAATGTTTACAACTCGCGAATCAATATTTGGTCGATGACCGAAAATGCCAAATTAATTTTTTTCATGTCATTCTTTAAAGGAAGAGTAACGTTGAAGTTTATTGCTGAAAAATATATACTAACGACAAGGTATACATCCTTCGTGAATAGCATACGTCCACGTGCATAATTATTATTAAGGCTCCGGTATGGTGCAAATACAAATCGCGATCATTGTCGTATAGTTGCGCCACGCAGGATAGCGCATGAGGCTAAAAAACGTACGTATAATACTTTAAAGAAATATGGTTTCCTCTCCATGGGTTTCTCTCCGTATTCTAGCGCAAGTGGCCGCGCTCGGAACCAGTTTGCCCGCCTTGCTATGGAATGTAAGGACGGCTGTAATTATTTGCAGCGCGTAGAGCCGCTGACCGCCGCGATCGAATCTAGGCGTGTAGGATCGCCGCTATGATCCTGCGATCTCCTTACGGTATATCTCAACGGCCACCGTCCCGATTTCCATCCGCCGTCATCTCTCGCGATAGGCCCCCATTGTATCCGACAAACACCCGCTCGTTCTCCCTGCCCCTCCCTTTTCCGTTAACGGATCCGCGTCCTGGAACAGAAATCCACATAATTCGCGCATAGTTTGCAAGCATTTCGCACCAACACTTTACGACTAAGTTAAAATTATTTCCAGTCCGGAATTTATCTCTCAGAAGCGCTTCCGGTACAGTCTGCTGCCCTTTAATTAGTCGCATGGTGTATTTTGTATATCAAAGTACAGAAAAGCGTATACATATCATATTTGTCAAGTCGATAACGTTTTCATTCTCTATCTCATTCTCTATCGCGTGATATATTCCGTTGTGTGCTAAGTTAAAAACGCATATAATATTCATCGAATTACTACAATTACGCGACTTTTGTTGTGTAATAAGACGTGTTTATAAACACCTTAAGAAAGTTAAGAAAGTTGTTAAGAAAGTAGAGATCTAACAATAAGAACATCTTTCTAGTTCCTAACGTATTTTCTATCTCATTAAAATTTTATTCTTGCAACAAGTATTTGTTCTTCTTTGCGTTTTGAAAAAGATTGCGTTTGAAATAGATCTTCTTGAAGGTCACAAGAGAGGTCTTTCTTGAATTTTTGATTTTCACTTTGCGAATGATAACGTGATCGCAGTGCGGTTTTGATTTAACGCGGGAGAAGGAGAAGCCGCGATAATACGCTTGAGCGTCCTCGAGATTCGCGAGAGCACCTTTCACCGGGCATTCGAGAAAGGGTGGGTGCCATGCGTCCGCGTCAAGTTCGTTATTTGGGTCGTTCTTGCGAAACACTATTGAGAGCTCGCTGTACAGTGCTCGTCGACCTTGACGAGTGACCGATTTCAGTGGCGTAATCGACGACAGGTCTCAAGAAGATGCCACCTGTTCTTTGATAAAGGAACTGAATCTATTTAACTAACAAACTCTCTTCTCTTTCTCTCTCTCTCTCTCTCTTGAGTGCTTTTTCTTTTTTTCACTTGAAATCTCCATTCGTATTCCAAGCGTTACTTTCCGATTACATTAGTTTACATATATTTTATATACAGATGGAATAATTGAAAAAAAATCATAACTGAAACACTTATTTATGATTACGCTTAATGCGTTTGCGCGGGTACTAAGGAAAACTTCTTAATGCTAACGAAATGAAATATCACACGATAATGTCCCGTTTACGAGCTTCATAGTTAACAATGGTTTACGTTCGCGACAGTTATACGTATTACACAGGATGTCGTGGGTGGAAAGACAGTTAACGCCGCGAGTACACGAACGTAGTGGTAAGCAAAGCGCGAATCGTGCAACAACCTGGTCGCTTACTTCTACTATCACCGTCCCGTCGAAGAAGGTAACGAGAATTACCTGTTTATCCTATTCGAATGGCTAATCGAAACAACTAAGCAATTGTCTCGTGTAAAACTCTCAATCGTGTAAACTGGACGTTAGGACCCGCGCTTCCGATAACGGCTTCAGATAGCCGAATTCATTTTCGATTCCCTCGTCGGCTACACCTCTGCCGCCACTTCGATCGCTGCACTGGGCACGATCCATGAGAGATCTCTCATAAGATGGTTCCAATTCTCTCAAGGTGCGCCGCGCCGCGCCAGTTAAATCGTTTTTACGAGCGTGCCCCACTCAAAGCCGGCCGAAGCAAAAGGGTGAAAAAAAGAAAGGGCACGAAAAGAGACAAGATAAAAAACTTTGCGTACCTACCTATCTACCTACCCACCTACCTATCCGACGCGAAGACACGCGCGCGCTTGCGTTAAAATCTGCTCTAACACGCTCAAATAAGCAACGAGAATCGACGACGTCGGGCTGGGCCTCCGCTCGCTCGCGGACTCGCTTGCGTGTAACGCGCCGCGGTCTCGCAAACGGATATACATGCATACGCTGCACATGTACACGCGTACACACACAAAGATCGTTTTCCCGTGGCGAGGCGAAGTCGAGCGAGATATCGTTGGCGGGTTTTGTGACTTGCGTGACGACTGCCATGTTTGCAGAGAGAGAACTTTAGCGCGCGACTCGTTGCCCCGCGTGCCCCGTTCTCGTGATACCTTCCTACCTCCCTTTTCCTGCTCCCTTCCCCTCGTTGTCCCGCATGTTTCAGCCACCTGCGCCATTGCGCTAGCTCGCCCCGCACGCATGCAACATAGTCGCCTTTCCCCACCCGTTCTTTCCGCCTCCGCACGCCGTGCACACGTCAAGTTGCATCCCCCTTTTACCTTCCCTCTTCCATTTCGCGCACCCGCACTCGCGCCTGTTTAAACGTGTACCAGTGAGCCCGGTAATTTCGCGAAAACTGCCACCACCGTCGTCACTGTCGCGGCCTCATTTTTTCCTTCCTTCCCCTTCTTCTTCCATCTCTTTCGTTTTCCCATAAATAAATTTGCTTCTCTTCGTCCATCTGACTGATCTTTCCCCCTTCCGCCATTTCTCCCGTTCGCCCTTTTAACGATACCATAAGCTACTACGACACACCGTTACGAGACTACCCCGAGGCGGGTAGAGCGAGCGCGCACACCACGTGTCTGCACGCGATCCTATCTTGCACGTTTCCCTCGACGTTGGTGTCGGTGTCGGCGTCGGCGTCGGCGGCGTCAGCGAGCGGTTTTAAGGGTGCCCGTCCCTGCAGAAAACCGCGAAAAGCGTGACCCCGATGTGGCGCTTTCGCTTTTATAATTTTATTAAAAGATTATTGTCTGTGTCCTTATTCCCAATAATAAGAAAGTCGGTTACGCACACTCCTCGCCTTTATCATGAGAACGCTAGCTATCTCAAACCCTTCGACTCCTCTGGTAAACACTCGATCGTCTATGCGGCACGGAAAGTGTACCCCTCTCGTACGTCTTCGTTCTCCTAACCGCTCGCTCGTATGCGGCCATCGTCGATGGCCCTTTACAATTAATCAGTCGCGCGAACCGTCCGGATAAGAACCACTCACACGAACATATACAGACGCGGGGGGCCGTCGCAAGCATGGGCGTCGCGAGTTGGTCGCGTTTTTCTCAGGATAGGAAAAACAAATAAGAGATTAGACGAAAGAGATGTGTAATTTAACGTAATAATTTGTCTCGAGATCAGTGCATTTTGTGAAGCAAATTTTTGATCCATGCGCTTTTCATTAATTCATTCTGCTTCATCAAGCTTCCATCTGCTGACCGGTTTGACATGTCAGAGCAAAAAGTCTCTTCTTCGTTTCGAATGTCAAAACGCGTTTTGAGTCGCGCATTTTTTGCATCTCAAAATTAAAAGAAAATTCAAAGAACGATTTTGCACCTCCAACTTTCGCATTTCTACATTTCTTAGGTACTTATAAATATATCGTACATATTATGTAATTTTTTCCAACATGATATTATAGATTTTATTTCACCAACATTTCATCGATATCGAATTTACAATGAGCTAAAAATGAGGGATTTATTCAAATTCCAGTAGCAGAAGATTACGCGCTTTTCGGGTACCTACTTATCAATATTGTATTATATAGAATATAATTTATTTATGTAAAACATATATGCATATATATTTTATTTATTTGTTGATTGGATGTCACAGATGTACATTTTACACTGAACACTAATTGTAAGTAAGAAAACTTCCTTAAATCCTTTGACAAAACTTCCTCAATGCATATGCACCCTTTTTCATTCCTTCTTCCCTATCGGCCCCTATCGAAGAAACCTCGTCGCGACGCCCATGTCCGTATATAGGTGGGCGAACGAGGCGGCGATCTAAACTGGAAGGTTCCGCGCTGCGTGACCTGTCACCGTGAGCGTTGCTAGATTTATATGCGGACGCTAACTTGTCGCATATTTACCCCCTCATCGAGTTGTTGCCCCGCGCCCCTTCCGTCACAAGCCTTGCCAGCCTTCGCGAGCCTGTCTGTCCGACAGACCCCTGTGTGCCCTACGAGCGTCTCACCTTTCGCCTGGTTCTTGCAGCGCCCGATATACAAGAAGGAAGAAGTACCCTGTCTCTGTTCATAAGCGAATACATATATATACGTTCTAAGCTATACATCGTTTAAAAATTTTGCAGTTTTTTTTTATCAAAAATTCACAATAGTACATAGTAGCCTCGAAATGAACAAAGTTAACCGATATGTCTATGTTCACATGTGCAATGAGAAAGAATTTGATCGTTTCTATTATTTGTTCTTCCCTTTCCTTTTCTCGCTTAGCGGAGCCGCACAAGAAAGAAATTAACGAGTTCTCGTCTTTTCGTTATTTTCATCCCTTTAAGCTAGCCGAACGTCCCACTGTGCAGCTCCCTCGCCCCATGGTGACACGGTTCAACAATGCGGGGATAGACGGCTCGCCGCCGGATTCAGATACCGACTGTCACACGCCGACGATGACTTTTTTTCTTTTGCTAGCCGGTTTCTTTCGCGCTCAACTACAATCGCGGAGTAGGCGCGCGCTCGTAACGCGGTCAGGTAAGCCGGCTTGTCGACCCAACGTGCATCGACCACCCATACAGGGTGTCCCATAAGATTTTCACCAAGTTCTAGGAGCGTATTTCTTGACAAACTTCAAATAATTTTATTTTTTATGGACATACAAAGGCAAGGAGCAATCTGTATATATATTTGCACTTCCATCTTTATTTTTTTAAACATAGCATAGAACATGAGCTTGACGATATATTTTATAGATGTTTTGCGCAATGTTTCGTTATTTTACAAAAAACTTTCTGTGATTTTCTTTTCCGTGATACTTGTAACAGATAAATTTCTAATGTAGATGAGTTTTATTTGAAGTCGCTCTACTATTAAATTTAAAACATATTTCCGATAATATATTACAAGCACAGAGTTTAGTTTACTTTTAAATCTACATTGATCCTAACGATAAATGGAACTTATAAAAAGTGATTTTTTAACATGTAAATATGTAAGTTTTGCTAAATAATAGACGAAAAGTAACGGATTCTAATTGACATCTCAATCATATTATATCTATTATTTGTATATTATATTCTCTGTTATTATATTCTGTGTGTATGTCATCATGTTTTATTATCATACTCTAAAAGCTAAAATTTTGAGCAGAAAGTATA